CTGTTTTTTACTAGCACGTAGAGGAAACAGATCTGGTCGAGCATGCGTTGATGTCCACATCATTGTCTCTTGACAGTGAGCGTAAGCAATGAGAAGAAAGGCTACGCATAAGGGTCCCACCTGCGTTACACAATGGTAAATCGCCCCTTGCCATTTCTTCTTAGGGTCCCTATATGGTACAAATGGTTAACATGCTCAGCTTACCGAGGGTAACACCTGGACTCTCTCTCTTAACCTCTGGTTCCTTGGTTCAATCCCTTGATCCAACTTAGGACTCAGAGGAGCATGATTTGAATTGCAGGACGTCTGATTCTCCTGACTCTGGACCCCTCTTTCCAAACAATGTAACCAACTCTTTGTCTGGCCTCCACCTTCACTTCTTGTTGACCCCAATGTAAGTGTGTTTCTTTCTCTCTGCGCTAGCCTTCACCCTGGCCATAGGAAAGTGGGTTTTATGAGCAAGTAAAGTTTGGAGGTTCCAGTCCGCCCAGAGGCTTGTGTAAGCCAGATTTAGTGTTTGTTGACTTATGGTTGGGTCTTCACCTGACCATCATTGCTCTGTGTGCGCCTGTCTTTCATGTACCCTCTTGCTAACTAATAAATCATCAATGACTCTATTTGCAAGCAAGGTCACAATCACAGGTACCAGGGGTTAAAACTTCAAGCTGTCTCTGGGAGGGAGCATAATTCAACCCCCAGCACAGTGGTGTCTGAATCATGCCTTCCTACCCACTGCCTTAGTCTCCTAATGCTGCTATGTGAGAAACACAAGTGGGTGGCTTTAATGAGCAGTAATGGATTTTCATTGAGAAATATATTCTTTCCCCAACATGTTTTAGAAAGGTGTTTTCTGTAGTTTGTACTAAAGATCTCTGGTGGCCTAGTAGTAAGAAGCTGTGCTGTCAGCCCAAAGGCATGCAGTTCAAATCCACCAGCTGCTCTGCGGAGGAAGGATGGGCAATCTCCTCCTGTGGGATTTATAGCCTCTGAAGCCCCTCTGGAGGGTCAGCTATGGGTCGGTTCCAACTCAAAAGCACACAACAACATCTAGTTTGTACTAGAAGTAAAACCAAGGGCTTGGCTGCGGGGAAAGGCTTTCTGTCCCTGTCCATTCTACAGGTCGGTCCTCGCTCTGTCAGTGTCTGGTTTCTGTCACCTTGGTGAGGAGCTTTACGAGATATGTATCTGTATATCTTGCCCTCCATTTGTTCTTCCTTCTCTATGAATAATCTGTCCCTTTCTCTCTTACAGGTGGTTGGTTAAGACCAGCTATATTATATTATATTATATTATATTATATTATATTATATTATATTATATTCTATTTATTCTATTTATTCTATTTATTCTATTTATTCTATTTATTCTATTTATTCTATTTATTCTATTTATTCTATTTATTCTATTTATTCTATTAACATAAGAGAGAAAGTTCCTTTCCAGATGGGATTACATTTTTGAGTACAGGAGTTGAGATTTGTGACATTTATTTAGAGGTGGGGGAATGACACAACTTAACATCTAAGAGTCACCAAGTCAGGATCTAGAAGTCAGGTCTCAAATAAAAGTTGCCTGGTCACTAGACCTTTAGAAAGAGCACCGTGAAGAGCCAGAGGAGGGTCAGTGGGTGTGACGAGGTGGTGTGAGCTTCTTGTAGACTAAACTCACAGAAGGTGGCTGGACTCTAGTCAACTTACCGACACTTTACTCCAAGAGAGGCTCACTGGGTAGGGAGGGACCAGGGCACCATGTCCCCAGCAGAGACTGCAAGAAGGAAGGGAGTCCAACCATCATAGCCTCCCCAACCCAAGGTCCCAGTGGTCCTTCCAGGGAACCAGCATCAAGGTGCTGCAGGCAGGACGCCAGTCAGTCAAAGTCATCTGAGAAACAGCATTTGACAGAAAGCAAGGAGCTTCCGACAGGGAACATTTGGAGGGTGAGGAAGAGGAAGAACGTTTCACTAGCCTTAAGAAAGAAGCAAGCAGGGAGGGCAGGGAGGGCAGCAACTCCTTTTGGCCTAGAGATTCCTGCACTGGACAGAGGTCCAGATCAGCCCACACGGGTGGCAGAGGTGTTGAGCCAGAGCCCAGTGTAAGAGCAGAACTGAACTGCTGCCCGGGGAGCTAGACAGGAGGGCGTTGCCTGAGCTTACGGGTAGCTTGGGGTTGGGATTTTTCTGGTAGAACTGGAAAGGTCTTGTAACTCTGACCAGAGCCTCAAGGCAGAATCCAGCGAGGCTGAAGCTTAGATTGAGACCTGCCTTTGAACACATCAGAGTGAAAGCTTTACAGGCTGGAAATGTATCCCAAGTGTTTCTCACCTAAATTGCTACCTCTTCCCTCCTTGATAAACCCCCAAATCATAGGCAGAATCAAGTTCTTCTCCACGCCACACTTGCAAGTCTACTCTGTGCTGATGTTTAAAGCATTTGAAAGAGGCTTCGAACAGGATTTGAGACCTACAGTAGATCAGATTTGTGTTTAGAAACAGATATGTACAAATCGACCTTGAAAATGCACAGCCAGAGTGCTTCTTGGAGGCCAGAATGGTGACGCTTTATTTCATATACTTTGAGCATGGAGCTGGGAGGATATTCCTGGAAAGGGTCTGTGAGAGGGAGACCCTCAAAGATTTACGCAGTGACTGCAGCAATGAGCTCAAGTGTATCATTGACGGTGAGGATGGCACGGGATGGGCACAATTCAGATCCGTTGTTCACAGGGTTGCTATGAGTCATTCCCAAGACGACAGCACCTGTCAGCAACAACATATTTTAACTGAAATCTTGATGGTTCAAATAACCCAAGGTTTATCGTAAAGTGATAAAACTGGGCGTGGATCTTTGGATATTAGCTGGTGATTAGCAGTGGACCAGCCGGGAGAATTGGGAGGTTGAAAATGTTGACTCTATCTTGTGTTTACACCCCACTCATGAAACCAGTGGTGTTTCTTTAATGTGATCACACCCAGCCCGGGGATAAATATTCCAAGAGATGAATATGGCTGCGGGCTGTTCCTCTGAAGTTGCAGAAATTCAGAGGTTACCACAGAAGTTCCAGAATGCATATTTCCTACTCTGGGCAAACGGATACCCAAAGGAAACCCATGACCGTTGTTGGGCTCCTGTGATCCACTGGTTCAGTCTTACGTTGAGAAATGAGGATGGGTTGAGGTTCAGTAATGGGAGACGTTAGCAGGACCTAGACTAAGTAGGAGCTTAGCAGAAGGAAAGGGTGGTTTTGTGTGCTGTTCATCAAGACAGCTAATGTCTGCCAGAGGGCACCCGAAGGGAAGGTGGGCAGAAATCCAGGGGTCCACCTCACTGCACCCTAACTTAGGCTCCCTGCCGCCGAGCCTGAACTGACTCAGAGCCAAGCCTCCAGAAGGTTTTCGGAGGTGGTGAATCATAATGGAGAATCTTGCAGGAGAATCTTTCTCTTGAAAAGCACCTGGTAGATTTTAACAGCCAGAGAGGCGTGGCCTTCAGCTTAGCAGTGTGGCTGCCTGTGCACTGCGCTACCAGAGCTCCCTTGCCTGCTCTAGAAACCGCACAGAGGTGGTCTGTCCACATGACTTGTTTGCTGATTGGGTCTGGTGCCATCTCTGAAGACGCGAGGAAAACATCTTTACAAATAAAAGAGTGCTTATGCTTGGCCTTTGAGGCTTCAGGGAATAGAACAGCGGGTTCCTGGGGGAACTGCATCTTATCTCTCAGCCATCGTGGGTGAGGATTACCTGAACCCACGGAAAGAGGAGGACAGGAAAGCAGGCTGAGGCTGTGGGCCCAATGGAAAGCGAGAGAAGAAAACGAAAGACCACAAGACTCCAGGGTCAGGGGACCCATGTGCATGGACCGTTGGAGAGGCTGCAGACTGGATCCAAAGGAGATGTGCTTGCACCGTGGGTCTCCTCAAACTCCACCCAAGGCTCCTCTGCCCTGGACAGGGGGTCTGGATACAACAGGGTGGGATGGGGGCCATGGCCTAAATGGGGCCCAGTTTTCCAAGCCAAAGCGTAATTCAAGGAGCCCTCTTAGTAGCAGATAAAGGACTTCGTTGCTAACTGCTATGCCAGAGTCCACCAGCTGCTCCTTAGGAGACAGAGGAGGCTGTAGGCTTCTGGAAACCCGCCCCCCAACACCACACTGTTCTCTACGGTCTCTGCGAGTTGGAATCCATTCCATGGCAATGGGTCTGGTTTGGTTTGATTCTGACAGAGTATTGGAAATAAGACAAACAAAATATCACAACTTTCAATATACTTTATTAAAAAGTTTCTTTGTATAAATTTCCTAAAATTTAAAAAATTAAATTTAAATCCCTCAAACCAAAAAAAAAAAGTAAACAAAATTCTTTTTAAAAACACAACATTAGCAGAATGCCAAAAATAGTCTATATCATGACTTTGTAAAAATTCTTTAATCGAAGCTTTGGTCCCAACAGTGCACCTCTATAAGGGGTTTTGCTTCCTTCTAATTAGATCAATTTTTACAGGCTTCAGAAGAAGAACTTTAGCTTGAAATCTAATGAGGGAAGCTGGGAAAACATGGAAAAATTGGACTCTTGCTTATGCACCATACACAGGCTTTCCACCTAAAGATATGCTTAAGTAGGAGAGGAGAAAGAAGCGAAGCGTAAGTGTACAGAGTAGCTGTGGAGTGAGGGTTACTCCTAGATCTTTAATATGCCTGAGAAAGGCATAGCCTGACACTCCAGAGGGAAGCTGGGTTCTCCGAATGTTCACATAAACACCAGCAGCGGGTAACTGTTACACAAGGTTCAAGGTATACAACGTAATGGGAGACAAGAGCGTTGAGACCACAGACACATTTAGCACCATGTTGGTAGGACATGCAGCAGAACGTCTCCTCCCAAGTTCGAGTGTAGATCAAAGCATGAAACGGGACAGTGGAAGGTCATCTATACCCAGAACTTCTACAAAGACGAGCTGGAACTGACTGACTCCTTCTTTCAGAGGTATGTGTTGCTGGTTGGCCAAGTCTAGGTTCCTATGACAGTCATGGCTCCAGGGTTGACCAACACTGGAAGGACATTAATGAAGGGGTAGATGTGGAGAGGGGAGGGAGGAGAGGAAGACAAGCACATTAGTAGACAAGAAGGGCACCTGAGAGTGACTCATGTCTTGTTCTCACGACCCATCTTACTTTCCTGCTCTGATGCCTCCAATGGTTCCTAAGAGCTTCCTGGTTAGTGTTTGCCATTCTGTAGCCTAAGTCCAGCCTCTGGCTTTGCATTTAGGCAAACCAAGCTCTCTCCATCCTGGCACTGGCCCCAAGTTCTCTTTAAAGACATTCTTACTTTATGACTAATCCAGCTGCTCAATAAAATACAGTGTTGACATTATTATTTATAAAAACAACAACAACAAACCACCAAATCCATTGGCTTTGACTTGGTTCCAACTCATTGGTTCAACCCCAAAAGACAGAGGAGCACTGACTGCCCCGTGGGGTTTTCAAGGCTGGAATCATCTCTCCTATCGTTCTCCCAGAGTGCTTTAACCAGGGCACCACCATGTACCTTTATTATTTCTCAGAATCAAAATGAAAGTAAGACCTGAGGTAGTATTTTGGCTCTGATGTTGTCTATACTTGTACACACTGCCACTTCCTTATCATCCTTGCTGATACTGTAACAGGGTCTTAGCAACATATCTAAGGAATGACATGCAGGTGAGTCACTGCTTCTTAATCGGCAAAAATTATGATGATGTATGCCTTTAAGAAATAAACTGGTACTTTGGAATTGTTTCATGTGCTTTTCTTGAATTTCTTTTCTTTCTTTGTGATTTGAGAATTTGTACAGTGGTTCCTCTCCCCCCAACCATTCATACACATGCTGTTTACAGTATTCATTCTGGCGCCCACCATGTAGCCTCCCTCTTGCCCTCCCTCCCCCCAACACTCTCTTCCCTCCCCTCGGGAACCCAGCACTAATCCTTTCCTTACTGAGCATTGCCTTTCACTCTTCTTCTTATGTGTCTATTCTTGATTTTTCCCCCTAACACTTGAGGAAACATTTTTCTTGACCTGAACCCTATCCTTAGTTGAGGATATGACATGTTTTCTTTTCATTGTATATCATACTTTAAATGTTGTTCAACTAAAAGTTACTGACCTGAATCACTGACACCACTTGGCGAGAGCCAAGCCAGAACCCCCCCCTCACTTACCGGGAACGCAAATCTTTTCACATTCTTTCTGTGAATCGAAATTGTTTTCATTTCCACCGCAGCCTCCGTACCAGAATCGTACACAGCTTTTGGTTTCCACATCATAGTGCCATTTTAAAGAGAACTTGTCGCAAGTTCCCGTTTCTTTTGGCAGCTTGCATATATCTTTAAAACCAAGACAAGGAAAGGGCATTAATCAGAACCTGTAATTCACTCTGGTTCACGGTTAGGAGCTTGTGGGTGATCACAGTGCTGCTGCAGAGGGAAGATAAAGGCGCCCTCAGTAGGAAAGGTAAACCTCTTACACACTCCCTGTCAGGCCCTTCACCGGCCATCGGGACGAACCAACGCCACCGAATCTACATTAACTTCAGCAGTGGCAGGCTTCTGCACGGAGGTAGGCCTCGCTGCTGGATAATTAAAAAGGAAATGAAAGGATCCCCTTCCCTTTCTATCGCCCACTCAATTTTCTCAATTCCTTCAATGCTAACTCCCCAAGGAAGAAACTGAACCCTAAAACCAGGGAGTTTTCCACTCCTTGGAAAAAAAAAGCAATCAAATAGTATCAGAAATGCAGTTCAAAAAACAGGGCTGTGCATTTCACCACAAGCCAGGAAAATACAAGTAGAAAGGGGAAATCCTGCATGAGTCACATGTGTCTATCTATGTATGTGTGTGTGCATGTGCGTTTGTGCACACACACGTGTGCGTGTGCATGTGTGCAGCTTGGCAAGTTCCCTCAGAGCCTGCCAAATTAAACAAGCCATTTGAAAGAGATGCTGACACTGATGTAAACGTCGCAAAGACAACAATGTCCCACAGCAAAGCCATCTGAGGGGAGAGAAGCATTCTTTCCCTAGTTAAGGAAGTCTACGTATTAAATGCATACTTTTGATGGAGGCCAGCGGCAAAGTGAGGTCTACTGAGTCCATGATGAGAAAGGGTCATAGTGCGTGCACAGTTAAGACTTCTGATTACAGAACCTTGTAGCAAACCCCAGACTGTCTGGGAAGGAGAGGCATTGATGCCAATGACTAGCAAAGACCTGACCCTCCTATTGGTGAGACTCAAGCTGATGGCGATGTGGAAACGCACAGGCCTGGGATTCTCACCCTTGGAAGCACAGGAGCCGGAACTTGGTGTTCTGAGGTTATGGCTGTCGGATGCCTATCGCATCAACGAGACTTCCCTATGCTTTGTAGGCCACATATGCTAACGTGGAAACTGGGGAGTGTGAACTCCCTGGAGTCCACGGAGGGATGATTAGATTCACGGAACTTGTTCTGGGCTCTTCTCACACCACCAGTCTTGGGGCCAGTGACTGGTCTCGCATACCTTCCCGGATGTGAGCCTGCACTGCTGGGCACAGCCTCTGGCCACACAACCATCCTCCTTCTCCTTGTCTAATGGAAGACTGGCAATGACTTATAACCTGCTGCAGTAGAGACGGCTGTGACTCACAGGGCCCCATTGGGTTTTCAAGGCTTTGACTCTCTATAGAAAGAGACCACCCTTCTCTCCCAAGCAGTGGCTAATGGATCGGAACCACCAATTCACCTGGCAGCACAACAGACCGCACAGCCAGGGCCTCTTAAGGGAGAAAGGAGGCGTGGGGATTATCAATGATCTCCTTGGCTCTCTTGCCTAGAAGCATAATTTATAGCAACGTAAACACATTTTCTGTGCAAAGAGAAACTTTGGAAAGGCTGCCTGATTCTGGTTCCCATCTGATGGAGCACCTGGGGTTTCCTCTCCAAACAGGAAAACAGGAAAGTGTGCGCATGTGGCGTCTGGCCAGAACGCTGCCCAGGGAGCCCGCACGTCTGCAGGCGCCTCAGCCCCCACCTAGAACACCCTGGAACAACCAGCAGGGACTGGAAACATCCTAAGATTCATGCTCCTTTTTTGCAAGAAAGACACATGTGCACCCACAGTCCAACATGTAACATTGTGGACAAGTCAGGCAGGATCCGCATCAAGTCATTAATCATGACTGACAATGCCACGGCCAAGGGCATCGTCCTCTTAAACTTCTCTGTCCATGCTTAAGGCCTCACAACCATTAGCTATTCATTTTATGAGCAGAAAAAGACTATCAGAAAACATGATAAGCTGGAAAATGGTGTCTTTTTCTGGTTTGAGATTCCCAGGCTGTAACCCTACCCACTCTGATCTTTCCTGAAGCAGCAGCTACTGATTGCTGCGTGAGCGTACAAGAGGTCAAGGAGCCTGTGCGCGTGCGCGTGCGCGTGCGCGTGCTGGAATGGCGTAGGTGAGGCTGTGCGCATGCGCGTGCTGCAATGGTAAACTTGTTCCTCAGCTTACTGGTCCTGAAAACAAGACAGTCAATAACCTTCAGGCCTGACTTTGCTAAGAGTATAAAGGACTTTAAGACCCTGAAACTATAGAGGATTTGCTTAAATGAAAAGGAAAAAACCTTCCTAAATCTACTTTTTGAGCATTGACTGCTTTTCAAAATCCTAAGAAAACTTTTGCTATTTTTAACGTTATTTTGAAAGTATTTGCAGTTGAGTTTTGGACCTTTGGAGTTTTCTTCAGCTTTTGACGGACAGACTTTTTTTGAGAAGATTTTCAAGTCACCATACCAAAATTAAAAAAAAAAATCTAAATAAGCTTTGAGGGTGAACATAACCCAAACATTGCAAGCGAAACAGGTGCATTTTAATGCAGCAGGAAGCAGACAACCCCAAAACAGCTATTTTCTCTTGACCTAAATAGAACAAGTGTTTGTGGTTCTTTAGTTTACTTCAACTTGTGGGGCTAAGTGAGTCACCATAAACACACACACACACTGCAGGCAGGTCAGTTCTGCACTTGGTAACCTCCACTGGGTTTCCAGGGCTGTTGAATCTTCACAGTCCACTTTCTCCCTCAGGACAGAGCCGGTTGCAGCACAGCACGTGCACACGACACCCCCAGGGCTCCTACTGTTAACGGAAAGGTCCTTGTCCCACTACGTCACGTGTGCTGACCAACGACATGCCTGCAGTCAGAGCAAAAAGTGATCTTTTGACCATGCCAAGACAGTGCGGGAAGACAAAGTATTAAAATGAAATGCGCAAGAAACTGGAACCAGAAAATCAAAAGGGCTGAACTCACTCAGCATTTCTTAAGCTGAAGGAACTGAAGAACACATTCAAGCCTCGAGTTGCAATACTTAAGGATGCTTTGGGCAGAATATTAAATGATTCAGGAAGCATTAAAAGAAGATGGAAAGTGTATAGTCACTGCACCAAAAGAAATTGGTGGACACAGAAGAATTTCATTAAACAATGTATAAGCAAGAGCCTGTGGTGATGAAGGAAGAAATTGAAGCTGCTCTGAAAAAAATTGGCAAAAAACCAAGGCCCCAGGAATTGATGGCATACCAATTGACATATTTCAACAAACAGATACTGCCCTGGATGTGCTCACCAAGTTGTGCCAAGCAATTTGGAGGACAACCACTGGTGAACTAACTGACTGGAAGAGATCTATTTATGTTCCCATTCCAAAGAAGGGTGATCCGACAGAGTGTGGAAATTATCGAACAGCATCATTGATATCACATGCAAGCAAGACTCTGTTGAAGATCCAAAAATGAATGGAACAGCACATCAACAGAGAAGTGCCTGAAGTACACGCTGAATTTAGAAGAGGCCATGGTCCTAGGGATATGATAGCTAATGTCAGATGGATCTTGGCTGAAAGCAGAGAGTACCAGAGCAATTTCTATCTGTGTTTCATTGACTATGCAAAGGTGTTTGACTGTGTGGATCACAACAAACTGTGGTTCACTCTGCGAAGAATGGAAATCCCAGAACATTTGATTGTGCTAATGTGAAACCTATACTTACACCAGGAGGCAGCCATCAGAACAGAGCAAGGAAACCCTGCATGGTTCAAAATTGGGAAGGATATGCACTAAAGATGTGTCCTATCTCCATATCTTTTCAAACAGTATGTGGAACAGATTATTCAGGAGGCTGGGTTCTATGAGGAGAAGTGTGGCATCAGGACTGGAAGTAGACTCATCAATAATCTCCATTATGCAGACACACAACCCTGCTTGCTGAAACAGGAGGACCTGATGCACTTGCTACAGAAGGTCAAGGACTGCAGTCTTCAATATGGATTGAAGCCCAACATCAGGAAAACAAAGATTCTCACCAGTGGGCTGATTGGCAGCACCATGATAGATGATGAAGAGATTGAAATTATTGACAGCTTCCGTTTGCTTGGCCATACCGTCAACACTCTTGGTACTAGTAGCCAGGAAATTAAAAGACGAATTGCATTGGGAAAGTCTGCTGTCAGAGACTTCTCCAAAGTACAGAAGAGCAATGATGTCAGTCTGGAGACTAAGGTGTGCCTGACACAGGCCATGGTCTTTGCAATTACTTGCTATGCATCAGAGAGATGGACAATGACTAGGGATGATAAGGAGAGTTGATGCTTTGAGTTGTAGTACTGAAGAAGAGTAGTGAATATGCCAATACTCAGAGAACAAACAAGTTCATTCCTGGAGAGGGTGAAACCAGGCTGCTCCTTGGAGGCAAGGATTCTAAAGCTTCATCTGGCACACTTTGGACATGTTACAAAGTGGGATCTGTCCTTGGAGAGGGACATTATGCTTGGGAGGGTGGAGGGACAGCCCAGGAGAGGAACACTCTTAATGAGATGGATTGATTCCGTCACTGGGGTAATGAGTATAGGTTTGTCAGAGACAATAAGACTGGTACAGGATAGAGCAGGATTTAGGGCTGTTGTACATATGGTTGATATGAGTCACAGGTGACTTGGCAGCACATAACAACAACAAGAAGACAGCTTCATTTTGTCACATGCCCTCATTTCATCTTCTAAAAGTCTAAAACACTGTCAAAAAGACCTGTTATCAATTATGAGTCACATTCTAGTCTTAGTATCTCATGTTTAATGAGAAAAAATGAGGCATTGTGCATAGGATCAAAAACGTAAGGAATACACAGGTAAACTTACTTCATCCAGAGCTGAGTTAAACCCACACCCACTGTCACCATGTTGATCCCTGCTCAACAACCTTATCTGTGGGGCAGAGCTGGGCTGTCCAGAGGGTCCAGGGCTACAGTCTCTATGGGAGAAGACTTTCAGGTCCTTCTCTCACAGACGGCTTGTATATTCAAACTATCAACTTTCTGATTAGCAAAGCCACCCCCTTTTGGTTAGCTCTGAACGACTGCACACAGCACTCCCTGAGCTGGCTGTTACTAGCCACATCTGCCCAAATAGAATGGCATGGCCAGTTCTACAGATGGATAAATTCTAAAACATGACCAAAAAGAATGTCATGCATTACTTCGATGATACTGATCACGGAATTTCTTTCAGAACATGTAGATATCGTCGATAATTTGGGATTTGTTTTGTCATAACACACGCGTTTTCCTAGTTCAGTGCGTGCGCGCTCCCACACATGCACTCCTGCACACACGTGAAGTGGTCAGAGAACAGCAAGCAGACAGCCACATCTTCCCTCCTGAGAGCAACAGTGGCTTCATACCCCAGCCTTTGGATTAAAAGTCCAGTTCTCAACCAACGCACCACCAGGGCTCCCTTGCAAAGGTCCATCTGATTCTAAATCTTGTATAACACAAAGGCAGCTGGACACTCAAAACCCACCTTTGATTGCTATCAATTGTAGAAATAAACATTGTAAAGAGAGAATCTATCTTTCCTCTGACTTTAAGATAAAAACTAATGAACTCTCCCAATAGTAATGGAAACATTGAGTTGAAGGCTAGAAAAGAATAATAATGCTCTCTACCCAACATTTTCAGTTTATAACAATAGTGAATATTCTAGTATTGCTCTTAACAACAAACACGTGGCAGCAATAAATGTCAGCGCCTGAGACAACAGTAACCCTGGCTGTGATGTGAGGGCTGTGATGTGAGGGCTGTGATGTCAGGGCTATGATGTGAGGTCTGTGATGTCAGGGCTATGATGTGAGGGCTGTGATGTCAGGGCTGTGTGTCAGGGCTATGATGTGAGGTCTGTGATGTGAGGGCTGTGTGTCAGGGCTTTGATGTGAGGGCTGTGATGTTAGGGCTGTGATGTGAGGGCTGTGATGTGAGGCTGTGTGTCAGGGCCTTGATGTCAGGGCTTTGATGTCAGGGCTGTGTGTCAGCTCAGCTGGGCCATGCTGCTCATTGGTTTGGCAGTTGTGCAATATTCTGTGATCTGATGAGTCATCCTCCGTTTTCACATAATAGCCATTTTCACTTAACATAGTCATGTTGATAAGTGAGGAGGAGAAGGTGTTTTAAATTCTCATACAATTTCTGTTACTGACATAACTAACCGCTTATGCTGAATACTCTTTTTTGATGTTACTGTTTCATACAATCATTCATATACTCTGTTTCATATAATTAATTACTACTGATATTTGCTTGTTATCACCCTGTCTTTGCAAGTCCCCAATGAATCTTCCCTAAACCTGCATTTCCCTATCCACTACTAACCACTAATATCCTAGTGATTTCTACACTTTCCCTCTTCCAACCCTCTTCTTCTCCCCTTCCCCTTTTAAACCTTTACACACTCAGTTACTCAAGTTTTTAAAAAATGGGCTTGTGCATTATTTGTCCTTATGAGACTGAGATATTTCACTCAGCATAATGCTCTCCAGGCTCTTCCATGTTATATAGCATTTTATCAAATTGTTGCTTCTTAGTGCTGAATATCCCATTGTGTGAATGTACCACAATTTCTAAATCCATTCATTTGTTGATCGACATCCCTGGGCTGTTTATATTTTCTTGCCATTGTGAATAATGCTGCTATGAACATAGGTGTACATATCTCCATTCACGTCTCAGTTCTCATTCCCTTGGGGTATTATTACTAGCAGTGGAATAATTGGGTAACATGGGTGTGCTGAACACTCTTAAACAAAGCAATAGACTATTTAAATGATCAGCTTCTTGTGGGTAAAAGATTTGAACTCACACTGTACTGAATGAAGGGTTTCAGGTTTCTCATCAGTGGTGGAGTTCCACTGCTAAGAAGCAAAATCAAGTCCTCACTCCCACATGACCATGTACTGACGGAGCAGGAAAGGTGTACAAACACTCCAGGGCTTGGACCACACAGGCAATGAGATGGCAGGTTGGACCAGCAGATGTGCTTAGAGCATCGGGACCAGAATGCCCATGGGTCGCATCCACGTGTGTTTTATGGGTCTCAGTTGGCTTCTTGGTCGCCTTCTGTGCATGTAAGCTGTTTTTTATTAGATTAAATTACCGGGTGGATGAAACCTTACTCTTTACAGCATTGCAGCCCACAAATCAATTCCAGCCTCAATGTGAGACATCAAGGAAATGACTAATGGGCACATGAAATGCTGGTTGTAGCCCCAAAAGCACCTCTCACTCCACTGGCAGCCTCCCTAAGAGTCTGTGGCAGGCAAGGTGAGTGTCTGCTACAGCCTGGACTGTGCTGGACACAACCAGGCTGGGCCACACGGCCACGCTCGGGAAGCTCCCCTGCAGAAGTCCTTTCTGGTCAGAGACTTAGAGCTCAGGAGAGAACCTAAACTCGGGATTCAAGAACTTTACTACAATCATTTCATTCACTACCTCACTTCATGCCACTCGTGGACTTGACATTTTCACAGCTCACCTGTTTTAGTGGGAACCAAAGGTTCACTGTTCACCATTAGATTGAAGGTTGAACTTGAGGCTGGCCTTGCTGGTGGTGCAGGTGGGGGCTGGCTTTTCCCTGCAAAGGATAAAGATGGTCAGAGAAGGCTTCTATCAGAAACAGAAACGGTGCAGGGCCCCTCAGCGGTTCTAATGCACCAGCAGCTCCCAGAGTGGACGGTGGACAATCTCCTCCCCTGGGATTTACAGCCTCTGAAAACCACAGGAGGGTCAGTTCCGACTCGACAGCAACGAGTTGAGTACGGCTGGACAATCCTTAGCCATAGATAATGGACACAGGTTTGCCTTCACGTCACAGAGGCTCACGACGTCCCCTCACGCAGTGAGGCCTGCAGCCGGCACGCGAGCGCCCTGAGTGACTGCACTGAGGCTGTTCGTTGCCGGCACTGCAGGACGTGGTGTGAGAGTCTCCACCTTTGCCGTCTGCTCTCGCTGCTCTCTCAGTGTCCCCTGTACCCCGCTGTACTCTGCTTCTTCTCCCTTGCTCAAATGAATATGTGGCTAGTTGGTGCAATTGTCATTGTGTGCTGTTGAGTCAGAAATGACCCACAGCTCTAAACCGCATGAGCAGAGATTGCCCGTCTTTCTCCCATAGAGCAGCTGGTGGATTTGGACTGAATGTCCCTGAGCAACACTGGTAAGAGCCCATGAGCACGTCCTGTCCACTCTCCAGTCAGTGATTAACCCTCCCTTCCCTCCCCTTCCCGTCCCAGAGAGCCATCAAAGCATTTCTTAAAGCACGTTAGTCTCTGAACAAACCCTCCTTCATCTCCCACAGATGGACTGTTAAGCACATAAATGAAGCCTGGGTTTGGCCAAGTCTCCTGGACTCCTATCTTGAAGGCTGGCCTCGTGGTAGCCTGTGAGAATTCCCTTTCCTTGACCTGAGTAATACATAATCCAATTCATCTAACCCACTGCCTTCAAGATTATCTCAATGCCTATCAACTCTGTAGGACTTTTGTTAACCTTGTTGCTATTTCAGAGTGGATTCTGGAAATGAAGACTGTTCCTCCTGTCACTTTGAGATTCCATAGGAATCAGGCCAGGGGGTCTCGAAGGTCACCTGTGCACTCACTTGTGCTGAAGCTGACGTGGTAGGTGGCCCTGACCTGAGACCTCAGGTAGCAGACCACGGACACGTGGTAAGTGTGCCCAGCCAGCAGCCCTCCGATGACGCGGTCTGTGCCTGTGAGGTTCTGCTTCAGAACCAGTGACTGGTCCTGGGCCGATGTGACGGTGAGGTCATAGAAATACGGGCTGGGGGGCTCGGGCCTGTCCCAGTGGAGCTTGGCGCTGTTCTCGGTGATCTCCAACACGTGGATGTCTCGGGACACTCGGGACACTGAGGCACAGAGACAAAGAACAGATTGAGAAACACTGTACATGACCACACTGGAGCTGGAGGCAGTGCCCACGCCCACTGCTCCTGGGCTTATTCTCAAGATAAGACAAGGAGCTGGTTCCTCATTGAATCTCCTGAGAAGTACTGGTTCTAGCAACTTAACCAGGAACCACTAACTGGGAAAGTCACAGATATCAGGAAACTAACCACACACTATGTTCCACTGCCGTCAGGTGCGTCTGACTCCGGAGCCCTGGATTCAGAGGCTGTACACCTTCACAGGAGGAAATTGTCTCACCTCTCCTCAAGTGGCTGGTGGACTTGAACAACTCACCTTTCAGTTACTAGCCCAACGTGGTACACATTACATCACCAAGGTTCATGGCTACCATTTTATTTTCATTGAAAACCTCTCCAAATATGAGAACTAGCATGTTCATTTGAAGCTCACTGGTCAAATGCAATGAACTCATAATTAAAAATAGAGTGCCATGAAATTTTAAGGCAAGACATAAAATTCTTATGAAGGAAACTCTGCTCAGTCCATAAAATAGATCATTTCCCTCTTTCTCAAGAACATACACCTTTCTCAATGGTCTCTAATGTACTAGATTTTCTAGTATCTTCTTTGTTGTTTTTTTATTCGTTATTGCACATTTTCTGCACCCTTGCCACTCCCCCAGCCCACCCCACCGTGCACCCCTATTCCAGATCACCGTCATAGGTACAAAGCCTAATCATATGTTCCTTTTGGACACATGTTTGCCTCATCTGTTCTACTTCAATGTTCATTATCTGTCCACTCTTTTCCCATTCTCTGCCCAGACAACCCATGTCTGTCCTATTGTATAACAGCCATATTGTACAGTGTTTGTTGGTATCTTCTTTGAAAGAGAAATAAGATTATACACCCTGAGTCCCTTTCTATTGTGCACGGGGTCGTTATGAGCTGGAGTCAATTTGTGAAACTTAGTAACTCCCCTGGCATCTAGAAATGTTTGAGAGGTAGAAACAGTTGTGCAGAGCTGCTAACCAAAAGGTCAGTGGTTCAAATCTACCCAGGAACACCTTTAAAGGAAAGCCTGGTGACCTGTTTTCAAAGACCCCAGCCATGAACCTCTGAAGAGCATAATTCTATTCTGACCTAGGACATCATGTGAGTCAGAATTGACCCTATGGTAAACAGTGGCATTATAGTTATAACATGGCTTTCTAGATATAAGTGGCATTTTATAATTGTATAAACACACTTGGAGTCCTTGCACTGGGCACCTGGTTTCCTGTGCTTGGCTGCTAACTGGAAGATCAGAGCTTCAAGTTCACCCAGAAACACCCCATAGGAAAGGTCTGGCAATCTACGTCCAAAAATGTAGTCATTGAAAACCACAAGGAGCACAGTTCTGCTCTGACGTGGACAGGGACATCCGGACTCAATGTCCATGTGACAGTAACCGGTACAGTCTATCGGGGGGCACCTAGAGTCAGCAAGAGAAGACCCCCAAAGAAGTGGCATGACCCAGTGCCTGAAATGATGGCCTTCGACACTGCAGAGACAGAAAGGCTGGGTGGGAGTGGGCAGGGCCTCCTTCTGTGTACACAGCACTGACACAAGTCGGGCATCTAACCGCAATACCAGGCCGGGTGGGAGTGGGGCCCAGGGCCTCCTTCTGTGCACACAGCACTGATGCTGAGTAGGAACCAACTGGAGCATCTAACAGCAATAGGCAGAGGCCCTGCACACTGAAAACCGGGAACGGACCACCGTGACCCTAACCAACCAGAGGCGGCCTTACCTCGGGACCTGGTGGTGGCCTGCTTGGTGACAGTGAGCTTGGCGGCCTGGGGCCTAGGGGCTTCAAGCTTTGTGACTTCAGGTTGCATAGCAACTGCAGGCTTAACAGGAGCCGCGGGCTTGGCAGGGGCCTCCGGCTTGATGGGGGCCACGGGCTTGGCAGGGGCCGCAGGCTTGGCAGGGGTCACGGGCTTGGCAGGGGCCTCAGGCTTGATGGGGGCCGCAGGCTTGGCAGGGGTCACAGGCTTGGCAGGGGTCACAGGCTTGGCGGGGACCACTGGCTTTGCAGAGACCGGCTTTGGGGCAGCCAGCTTTGCTGCCACTGGCTTTGCCACTGTGGCCGGTTGCACCGTGGCCGGTTTCGGGGCCTCAGGCTTGGCGGGCACAGGCCTGGCGGGGGCTGGCTTTGCAGGCGGCAGATTTACCACGACTGGCGGTTTCGTTGTGGTGGTCACAGGTTTTGTGGTGGTCGCTGTCCTCGTCATTGTCACTGGTTTGGTTGTAGGATTTGAGGTAACATTATTTGGGATGTTTCTGTTAAGACAAATTAAATATTAAACCCACTGGTACAGAGTTTTCGCTGTTATACAAAACAAGTCCTCCCTGGGTGGTATGAATGGCTGGTGTCTCTGGTTGCTAACTGAAAATTTGGAGTTCCACCCAGAGGCACTCAGCCGACAGGCTTGGTGACCTATTTCCAAAAGTCCTTCCACACATGTGGCTGCCCTGGTGTTCAGGGGTCACCACGTTGGAACACTCTATGGCAACTGGCTTCTTGGTCTATCTAGAACAGGATGGGCTTCAGAGCTGTTGTACACAGGGTCGCTTGAAGTAGCAGGTGACTCAACGGCACAGAACCACAACAGCATAGACAGAGGCGGAAGCCCTGAGTGAGTGTTTGTCTGGAAACACTTTCTCTTCCTTTTCTTTTCCCCAAGGAATAGCTGGTGGGATCCAACCTCTGACCTTTGGGTTGGCAGCGGAGTGTTTCACGACTACCCCTAGACTCCCTGAAGCTTAGGAGGGTCAGCCTGGCTGTGACCCTACAGTAGGAAGGATGTTAAGAACTAGGTATGTGCTTTGCTTGGTGTCTGCAGCTACACCCAATCATCACACACCAGGTGTGGTAGGTGGTTGCTGGTACGGCTGGACCAGGTGTGGGTGCTCCTGTCTCCTGCCTTTGGCAAGGCAACATTCCAGGTTCTCCGGCCAAGTCTAGTCCTCACACCCTTGACCTTGTGACTGGTGTGGCCAGTGGAATATTGCCCACGTAAAGCCATGCAGATTCTAGCCTGGGCTGATAAGGCCTTGCAAACCTTAGTCTTTTCTCAGGAAGCCCTGCCCAGTCATCTTGAGAAAAAACCAGGCAGGGCCAGCTGGAATGACAGCACGTCGGACAGAGGGGCCACGCAGCTGAGACTGCTCTAGACCAGTCAGGTACAACCATCCAGCAACGGCCACACGCAGAGACATGAGTCCAGCGAACACTGGAAGAGCTGCCCTGCTGAGCCCAGACCCAGTTACTAGTCCACAGGGCTGTCATCAAGAAATGGGTGTTGTGGAAGCATTAACTCTGAGGTGGTATGTCACGTGCAAAGACTTGATGGTAACACCAGATGCTTTGAGAATCTCAAGGCTCAGAACCTTTGGAAAGCCCTTTTTTGGGGGTTTCAACACCCTCCCCCACAACTGAGGGATGGATGGAGATCTCTGTGTTCCCCCAACTCTGAAAATTCCAAGCCAATTAATGTAATCACTTACACTTGTCTGTGCCCAAACTTCACGGAATTCTTTGCAGGCTGGTCCCCTTGGAACCAATCACACTGTTTCCTGATTTCTGGGGACAAGTAAAAAGCATTTTCACCTGGAGAGAAACAGAAAAATCATTTTCACTTCTTCTGTATCACATGCAAACCAAAAATCAACACACTAATGAGAAACCAAACCCAAAGCCACTGCGTTCTGGTCAGTCCACACTGGTGACCCCGCGGGACAGAGCAGAACTGCCCAGTGGGGCCCCGAGCCTGTGATTCTTAAGGAAGCAGACTGCTTCATTTTCCCAGGGAACGGCTGGTGGGATCTAGTCATCGGCCTTTCCACGAGCAGCTGAGTGTTTAACCTCTGCGCCACTAGGATTCCTTCCATCAAGACTTCCAAGTCCAAACCCACTGCCGTTAAGCTGACCCCAGCTCAGAGCTACCCTACAGGGCAGAGCAAAAGGCCTCTGGGGAGCCGTGATGGCCTAGTGGTGAGACACTGCCCTGCAATCCCTAAAGCAAATGGTTCAAATCCACCGACTAGCTGCTCTGCGGGAGAAGGACGGGTGATCTCTCACGGGATTTAGTGCCTCAGAAAGCTCAGTGGAGGGTCAGCTATGAGTCCGTTCTGACCCCACAGAACACAGCAACAAGGCTCCCGGGCTGTACTCTTCACAGCAGCAGATGGCACCCCTTTCTCCCGAAGGCTTTCTGTGTGGTTGAACCACCAACCTTTGGGCTAGCAGCTGGGCACTTAACCACTGCACCATCCGTCCTCCTCAGCCTCTCAGCAAATGTGTGTTTACACTTTCCTAATGCCCCACGTTCGTTCAAGGTTTCTCCTACCCCCACCCTGGGTCATGCCCTCAAATGGAATCTAAGGACTGAAACAGGAAGTGAAATAGCTCCTCAGAGAGTCTGCTGGGTCCACAGTCCCACAAACAAGTGAGCCCTGGACCCCAGGAAAGGCTGAGGTGGCCTTCGGACCAGGGTGCTCCCACGGTGGGCAGGAGGGGTGCAGAGATGGTGGATTCCATTAAGGTAAGAGTGAGAACATTGTGAAGAAGAACCCCGCACTGGAAAGACTCAGAGAAGCCGAGGCAGAGCGAAGGGTGAGCCAGGCCCTTCGGGGTGCCTCCCCACTGCTACCAACTAGACAAGCACGTCCTGTTGTGAGTACACAGTAGGGCCTGCTCACAAAAACTGCTCCAGCAGGTTTGCCTGAACACACCAGTGAGTGAGCACAGGAAGTTATGTCTGTGTTGGTCTCTGTCACCACTGGCTCAGAACACCTGGCACGTCCAGGCAGCCCGCAGAGACACAGTGGGTGTGATTCCAGACCACGGACGTAAAGCGAGGATCACAATCAAGTGAACCACGTGACTTCTTGGTTTCCAGGACACAGAGAAGTCACGCTTACTCTGATTGTAGTCTGTGGAGCATACAAAGCTTCGTGACAAGATTGGAACAGTATGAGAATGGCCAAAATGTGACAGAGACGTGCAGTGAGCACATGCTATTGAAGAAATGGTGCACAGACAGAGGGGTGCACAAAATGTCAAGAGATGAAAACACAGTATCTACAAATTACAATACTGTGAAGTTCAGTGAAACGAGGTCAGCCTGCAGGGGCCCTCCTGCTTGTGAATGGATGGATAAATGACCATCAGCACCTTCGTGTTCGTCCTGCACCTGGGCCTTCATACCCCCGACCGGAGGTGAAGTCCAGGCCAGGGCCTCACCCCCCCTCCCCCAGGACTCACTGTTGATGAAGGAAGGCAGGAGCCGTCCGAAGCGCATCAGAGGCTCCTCGTTGAGCTCAGTGGACTTGTCTGCCAGCTTGAAGAAGACATCGTTGGGTTCGCTGGCAAAGCCGTACACTTCCTTGACATTCACCTTCCGGCCAATGCCCAGAACCACAAAGAAGTAGCCGTTGCACTTGGCCTGCAGGATGGCTCGCTGGGCCTCCTCCAGCTGCTGCTGCTGCATCTCACCCGTCAGCATCAGAACCACGATTTTCAGGTCCCGTGGGTTCGGTGCGCTTTCAAAGACGTTCTCTATGGTGTACTCGACGGCACGGCCCAGCGAGCTGGTTCCCTGCAGCTGAGCCATGTGGTTGCTGAGGAAGTCCACCAGCTTCTCCTTGGAGCCGTAGTCAGTCAGAGAGAACTCCACCCTCACCGGCGGCACGCTGGCATTGCCCACAGACTCGTAGGGCGCCTGCTGCACCACCGCCACGCGGGCAAAGTGCTGGGAGGCCTTGGGGTCTGGGCTCAGGTCCAGCTGTCTGACCATGTATGCAATGTACTTCTTCATCTCATTGAACTGGAACAGTGTGGTCGACTCAGAGCTATCTAAGATGAAAGCCACGTCAATGTCCACATCGCTGCCAGCTGCCCTTCTGTCCCTGAACGTTGGCCTCCAGTTTCCAAATCCACAGGATGGGTCAATGTTGCAGATGTCTAGAAAGAAGCAAGGTGGCCCTGTTATTTAGTGGATCCCATGAGGACTACTGGACACCAGTCTCCTGGAGTCTGAAGTCATTCAGACTATCACATAGTGCAGAAAACTGCATCTGTGAGAACAAATCAGACTTAGGAGACATAACTAGAAAGCTCCTTAGGAGTAAAGACGGGAAGACACACTTACTTACTTCGAATCAGGGCTGATTCAAACCAGTTTGAACCAGTTCAGCCATGGCCAGTAAAGTGAAAAGAGAATAGACAAGAATTTTTAAATTGTGGTGATGAGATGGATTGACACAGTGACTGGGGTAATGGGAGTGGGTGTGTCGAAGTCAGTGAGACTGGCTCAGGATAGAGCGGGCTGTAGAACTATTGTACACAGGGTCGCTGAGAGGTGTAGGCAGCTCGATGGCACATAACAACGACAACAACAATTTTTTTTTTTTAAATGCTAACTGGAATGGAAACAATTACAAGTCCAAACCTTGGCTCAGTAGACGTGGAAGATGGGAGACCTTTCAGGATCCTGACGAGGGAGACTGGTGAAGACAGGACCGTGGAGAGAGCCACAGAGTCAGCCACCATCTCTGAGCCAGGCACTGTGGGTTTTGACTCAGTTGGTCAGGAGATTTGATTGCTATGCAGTGTAGGCACTGACCTTGTTTTGTAAAGAGAAAGATTACATTTCCAGCATGGTTTCAACTTATTTTTTTTTCCAATTTTGTTCACTCAGCTTTTGAAAATCCAGGTCTAACCTAGGTAACTGTTTATCAGCCATGCCTTAATTAGACTCAGCCAGTTTGAAGTCCTTCTTTCAACATGTCATCGGGAAGGACATTGGTAGAAAAGGACATTTATTAAATGTGGCCCTCAAAACTAAGGTCAATCTCCAGAGATGAAATGTGGCCCTCAGAACTAAGGTCAGTCTCCAGAGATGAAATGTGGCCCTCAGAACGAAGGCAAATCCTCAATGAAGCGGACTAACCCTCAACCACGACGATGGGCTCACCGATGACAGTGAAGACAAGGCAGGACCGAGATGTGCTGTGTGTCCTTTACAAAGTCGCCTAACATCAACACCAACAGCACCGTACCAGTGAGCACGGTCAGCTTCCAGTCTCCATCACCGAATAGTGGGAGAAGGATGGGCAACGTCCTCTGCGTGAGTCACTGTCTCTGAAAACCCTGTGGAGGGTCAGCTATACTCTATGGTACACAACAGCAACAACAACAACAGATGAGCAAATTGCCAACTAAAATCCCACTGTTGTAGCATGGCAATAAAAATGACTGTCGCTCTTGCCACTTTATTGGGGATTGTGTTGTAGAACACATTCCACTAGAACCAGGCACAAGATTCTAGACTCCAAAGTGAAATCTCACGCGCCTTTGTTTGGGTTGCTTAGAACCCTAGTGCCCCGCCCTCAGTGAGAAGAGACACTTGTGCATCAGCTCGTTCTAAACGAGGAAGCTTCTGCCACAGCATCTACACTGCTACCTGCAAGGCTTTGGGAGCAGCTCCCCGTACGGACCAGAGCCAGTCACTCTAACGTTCCTGCGTGGACACAGTGTATAGTAACTGCAGGAGGGCTGAAAACCTTACCCAGGCAGACATGGCAAGTCAGGACATTCTTCAGGAAGTTGGTGAGGTCCCTCCGGGCAGGTAGAACGAGTGCGTGGCCCACCGCAGTGTTGTTGATCTGGTTTACACACACACACACACACAAAAACAAACAAACAAAAAAAACCCGCAACATTTGGTAAGCATGTACGTGGTGGGCAGTCATTTAAAAGTACAGCCAAGGAGTAAATCTTCACTGCCACAGAGTGAACTTCCCACACAACAGGGTCTGCTAGGTTTAGCTCGGTTTTGCTCAACTTTGGATTTACCTTCTTTTTTCCTTTACTTTTTCATTGTGATTCAAGCAAAAGTATACAAAGCAAGTTGGTTTTCATTCAACACATTTTGTTTCATAATGTTAATTACAATACCCAGAATGTGGTCATACTTCACCCAATCCCTCCCTGTGACTCTCATTTCCATCAGTCTTTCTAGCCTACTCTTTCTTGCTTTCATGGCTTGATCCTTGGCCAACTGTTGTCCTTTGGCCTTATATTGCTAGACATTCTAAAGTGTGAACACCTCCCTGGTGTTCTTGGTCATCTTCAGGGAGAGGTCTAGTGAGAAGCACAGAGTTTAACAGAAAAATATAGTTCATCTCATTTGGTGAGATGAAATGGAATTCAAGTCCCTCTCCTACACTTCTGCCTGATCTGAAGAAAAATTATTTCACGTCTCTTGGACCTAGTTCCCGCATGTGTGAAATTTGTAATAATATACTTTTCTGGTGAGGATATTTGGCGAAATAGCTTATGCACACAAGATGTCTGACATGGCCTCTGGCAAAGAGTAGAGACTTAGGTGGTGTCAACTTGTAGTAATAACAGTGGAATAGTATATTCCAATCTCTCCCCATTTCTCCCTAGGTTTAGAGAGAGAAGTATTGACAAACTAAGTAATAGGGTCCCTGTTTTTAGTCTCCTAAGAGAAGAGGTGGATTGACACAGCTACTGGGGTAATTGGGATAGGTTTGTCAGGGATAGTGAAATTGGGTCAGGGTCGGACAGGGTTCAGAGTTATTATACATGGGGTCACTATGAGTCAGAGGTGACCCAATAGCACATAACAACAACAAGAGGCTTTAAAAGTCCCTACCCACCCCCATCATAGACTGGAGAGTCAGAAGGACATAACTTCCAGAGATTTCATGCAAAAAGCAAGAGTCATACTATTTGTATATAGACCGTATCTGCCAATGCTACCGTCTTGATCTGGCAGACAAGAATACAAAGCCGCATTGATTGGTGTCTTCATGGAAGAGTAGACATGGTGAAAGAAAACAGGCCTGTGGATGTCTCACTAATGCCACACTCACTGGCCTATCCTGAACACCTGACAACACAAGGCCTCAGTCAGACAGGCTCACTGGAGACCCTGCAGAGTCTACAGAACTCGAATCTCCCAGAGAGCTAACGCATGTGCATGGGAACCTTCCCAGAGACACAAACACAGAGAGAGGGGGGAGAGTGGAGCCCCCAAGCACACACCTGCAGAGCATTGACCAGCTGCCGGTCCTCCTGGCTCGTAAGGAACAGGGGTGTGATCCCTGCGTCGGAGAGCTTCAGGACAGCCTCCCTGAGCTGTGGGGACTGGTTGGCTCTGGTTGGCCTGTTGCTGAAGAAAACCGCCACCTTCCTCATTAGGAATCCATTGCGCACTCGTTTAAACGTGTTCCTGGCCACGAAGGACATGGCGGTTTCCAGGCTCTGCTGCTTGGAGGTGAGAGCCACCTGAAGGTTCTTGATCCTGTCCAGGAGGGCTGACTTCTTTTTGGAGTCGGCAAACCGGATCTCCGTGGTCACCTCGTTGTTATAGGTTACCACGGCCACGCGGGCGCCCCGGGGGCAGTTGCTCTCAGCGATGGTCAGGTCCCCCACTATCCTCAAGAGTACATCTCTCATCCGGCTAAAGGTGTCCTGGGTGACCCCCTCAGAGGTGTCTAAAGCAAAGGCTAGTTCTGTTGGGAAGACGGGGCATTCCAGCGGCCCTGTGGGAAGCAGGGTTGTCAAAGGCATGTTTTACTCACCGGGGTGGCGGTCTCTCTTTACACAGAAGAAAGTCTAGCTGGAATGACTTACCATAGCAGCAAGCTGGGAAAGAAAGAGAGAGTAGCGTCAAAGGCATGTCACCGCTGGGGAACGTCAAATGTCAAAGCACAAGTAAGTCACAGACGGGCAGCCAGGTACTTACGACACTTATCCCGGATGCTCTGCACGAGGCCACATTGCTTTGAAAAGAAACAAAAGAAAATGTTGAAGGAGAAAATGGAAATGGCTTACGAAGCAGCAATGCAGAGTGAACAGGGTCACTTACATCAATGGAGTCCCCTCTGTTGCCTTTGTGACCCTGTAACGACAAGGGAGAAAAGCCTGAGCCACGTAGTGGCCGCAGCAATGAGGACGTGCGAAGACGTAGCTCCCAGGATGCAGCAGAGGAAGTGAAGGTGGGCTTTGGCTAACCTTGGAGATTTACAACAGCAGGCTCCCCTATAAATCTGGCTTATTGCTCCACGAGCAAACACGAGAAGACTGAGAACAAAAATATCTCCCCGGCGAGGTCATCCGTCTCCTAAAATCATTCCTGACCCTGATATCATCAACGTAAATCATGCACAAATCTAAACAGCACTTCTCCTGAGAGGCCTTCTTCCTGCCACGCGTTCTGTACGTCCTTTCAGAGAAGGGACAGCGAGTCTCTTGGCTGGATTCTAGGACCAAAGTGCTCCAGGGACAGACCTGCACCTGCCCTCAGCATCTGGTCCCAATACATCGCCACCCTGGTGGCCAGAAGTCACTCTGGGTCCATCTTTTCATATGGACCTTTCCTCCAGTCTGAGCTGCTACGATAAATTGCCTTAGTATTCTCCACGAAAGGCTTCCTTCCGAAAAGCGACAGTAAGAACCGCCTAGCGCAGTCGTCCGCTCTGAGTTCAAACAAACCAGTCACTTAACCTTTCTTACTACGAGTGGTTTTAGATCTCCTAGGTCATCAGTTCCATCCTTCTTTGGATCTCCTCAATTTATAGGAGAAAAGACAGAATGAAAATACTGAAACAGACACTGGAAAGGAAAGACTGATGGCAGACATGCAGGGGGTGGGCTCCTGACTTCTGTCGGTGAGGCTGTTGGGGTTTTGAACCATGAATCAGCAGCCCCTGGGGGTTCTCCAAGCCAGAGGAAGCCTTTTCCAAGCCGCAGTCTGACATAATTATACCGCTTCCTCGGCATGGAAGTAAGAGATATGTCTGGGTTTTTGTTTTATCTCTTTTTTGTGTACCAGAAAACTGGAAAAGGCGGAACATCTTAGACTAGAGTGTCACAAGGAACATTTTTTTTAATTTTCTAAGTCTGAAAAGTCTTCCCTGCATTGTGGAATCAGAAGAGAACTTGTTAAAACAATTAGCAAGTAAAACATTCAACAAGACAACACACTTTCTTTGTGAGAACAGGAAATACAGGACTTTTCTGAGACCATGCAGTTGTCCAGCTCCATGGAGCTGGCTTGGTACTTACAGCTGGTCCTGGGTAGCCAGGGTCTCCCTTCTGTCCAACTGCTCCAGGAGGTCCAGAATTTCCCTAGGGAAGCAGAGCAAGCATTGCTACCTTGTGGCGGGTTACACTAAAACCTCCAGTTTAGAAGTTGGAAGGGTAGGGCAGGTGGTCTAGTTTAATGTCATCCACCACCGTGAGAAATTGCTCACTGTCAAGGAAGCTTAACCCAGTGCTGCCAAGTCTATTCCAGCTCACAGAAGCCCTGTTGTACAAAGCAGAACCTCCCCTAGAGTCTCCTGACAGAAGCTGCTGCCTCGTCTCTGTCCCACAGGAGGCTCATGGCATCGACCCACTGACCGTCACATTTAGCAGTCCGATTCATCATCTACTGTACCCAAGTGTCCTCAAAATTCAAGAGTGGGGCCCAACAACCTTAACAAAGCCAATGCAGGTCTCCCCACAACTACGCTTCCTGGCAGGAAAAGCAAGATGGATACTTGGCTGGGAACACCTAGCAAGATCATCTGTAACTGCAATTATGCAACTTAACTGTCAGTGCAAATAATCAAGCCGATGTTTTCAGACTCTGTCTTGAGAAGCATCTGATCTAAAGTGAGTCTGCACTGATCCAGTAAACAGGATAACTACGAGAACTGTTAAAAAACACTGCATTTTAGGCTAAAAAGATCTGTTAGCAATTTTGACCTATAGGTTGACCACCACTTGCTAATAATTTAAGACCCAATACCTTTCAACCTGTATGCAGAACAGATTATCTGGGAGGCTGGGCTCTATGAAGAGAAATGTGAGGTCAAGATTGGTGGAAGATCTATCAACAATCTGTGTTATGCGGATGACACAACCCTGCTTGCTGAAACTGAAGAGGGCCTGAAGTGCCTGCTGCAGAGGGTCAAGGACTGCAGCCTCCAATATGGATTGAGGCTCAATGTCAAGAAGACGAAGATTCTCACCACTGGACCAGTTGGCAGCATCAGGATGGATGGTGAAGAGATTGAGATTGTACACACAGCTTTAGTTTGCTTGGGTCCGTAGTCAACACTCTCGGCACCAGTAGCCAGGAAATTAAAAGACATGTTGCCATGGGAAAGTCTGCTGTTAGGGACCTCTCCAAAGTACTGAAGAGCAACGGTGTTTCTCTGGAGACTAAGGTACGTCTGATACAGGCCATGGTCTTTGCTATCACTTGTTATGCATCAGAGAGTTGGACAATGACCAAGGAGGACAGAAGGAGAATTGATGCCTTTGAGCTGTGGTGCTGGAGAAGAGTATTGAGAGTACCATGGACTGCTAGGAAAACAAACAGATTCATCCTGAAAAGGGTTAAACTGGGTGTCTCCTTGGAGGCAAGGATTCTGAGGCTCCGTCTAACATACTTTGGACATGTTGTAAGGAGAGACAGGTCCTTGGAGAGGGACATCATGCTTGGGAGGGTGGAGGGACAGTGCAGGAGGGGAAGACCCTCTATGAGGTGGATTGATTCAGTGACTGGGGTAATCGGGATGGGTGTATCAGAGACAGTGAGATTGGCACAGGACAGAGCAGAGTTTAGGGCTGTTGTACGTAGGGTCGCTATGAGTCACAAGCGACTCGACAGCACATAACAACAACAACAATACAATCTTGGAAGGATGAGTAATCACCCATTGACAAGAACCAAACATGGCTTTGAAAAAAGTCTTATTGGGTTGCGGGGGGGTGCAAGTCGGGCCTGGTGGTCTGTGAGTCCAGGACAGCCTGGAGCCCCACTGCCTCGCTGTCTCCTATTGCCTCAGTCAGAGGCAAGGTCCTGGCATCTGGACAGCCATCCAGCAGTGCCCACTCTGAGCCTTGATCTCTCTGACACCATGGAATGAGCCTTGAGTGCTGATCCCTGAGGTTATTAGAGGAAGAGGGGTTCCAGGCCCCCCCATAAGAGAGCACAGCTGAGGGGGGACAACCACAGGCCCCACCATGGGTGGGGACCCCACCACTGTTCTGGAGCTTCCACACAAAACCCTGCTGATGTCAAGTTGAATTCTGACTCATGCCAGCGCACTGATGTCCCAGATTTGAAGCCACCAGCTGCTCCCAGGAGGGGACAGTCTGCTCTGTAAATACCAGCTGCCTTGGAAACTACAGACAGTTGTCCTCTGCTCTGATGGGTGGCTATGGGTGGGAGTGAAGCTGGAGTTGAGGAGTTCTTTTTTCCCACCTAGACTATCACTGGTCAAGGTCAAGTTTCAGGTAAAGAAAGATGATGTCTGAAGGTGTGCTGGAGCCTTAGCACTCCATACTGCCTCTGCAGCCAAGGTGAAGTTGCCTTACCCTTCGGCCACGGATTCCTTTAGGTCCTGGTGCTCCATTGGTCCCAGGATCCCCAGGGGTGCCCTGAGAAGAGAGGCAAGGAGGGTGCATGAAACTGAAGCATGGGAGGTTACTGGGCAGCACCTCTGTGGGGTACCTGGGTCACCCTGTCCAGAGCCTCCAACAGTCAATGTCGGATCACTTTTGCACTGTTACTAGTGTATTTGGCAGCCTCACTTCATTGTTCTGTGCTGCTATCCAGTCAACCCCGCCTCACAGCAAGTCCATGTACAGTGGGATCAGGTCATCATGATCTACAGCATTTCCATGCACTGGTTTCGAGAAGAGGATGAGGAGTTCTTGCCTCCTAACTGCTTTGGTCTGGATGTTCCAATGAAACCACATGACAACACACAAGACTCCACCGACGATGGGGTGAGTGGCAGCTACACACGAGGTGCATCATTTCGGAGGCCAAACTGACCACCACCCTCCAGTCTTAATTTACTTGACCAACAATATAATAGAGATTCTCGCTTGGGTAGTTATAGAGCTATTTCATGACAAGGCCATGTGGAGGAGGAAGCTGTGTTTCAGAAAAGGCAACGTCTCTTTCCAAGGTCACCTGGTTGAAAAGTGGCAAAGCCAAGACCAGAATCACCATATTCCGATCAGTCCACGGACATCCCAGTCTTATCCTAAAGCAATGGTATTTTACCGCTGGGGAATAGTAGTTACCTTTGGTCCTGGGTAGCCAGGGAATCCTCTTTCTCCCTATAAAAGAGAAATGAATGGCTTAATATTTGGCCTCAATTAGAATTGGCATCCACTCCCTAAACCACATGCCTCTAGAAACTGAACATAGAGAAACAACGTGAGTTAAAGGACAGGGCTCAGGTCTAGGACAGGGCTCAGGTCTTTTGTTCATAAAGTTGCTGAGTCAGGCTCAACTCGATGGCACTTAACAACAACAACAAAATAAATTGATCTCTCCAAGAAAAACATTTGTAGAATCATGAAAAGGGGGGGGAGAATCACTAAAATGCACTTAAACTCAAAGGAAAATTCTGTAAACATGTCAAAACATGTTGTCCTTGGGCCCTCTTGGCCCCAGCGCACTCTGAAAATTCTTTGCAGATACCTACTTTCTTGCCTGCACGTCCTTCATTGCCCACTCCATCGCGTCCGTCATCACCCTACAAGGGAAAAGATAATTACACACCGCCATGCTGCGACACCCCACAGCTGCTTCTGTCTCAAATCATTTCAGCACTGGGGACTTGGGTCCCCAAAAAAGATTCCAGAAGCAAAGCTCAGGGACTCTGCCTATTCCTGCTTGTCTTCCAGGTAAAAAGTAAGACCATGTCCCTAAGCGGTGGGCATGGGGGAGTCTGTGTAAATGCCCCAGTGGGCTCTAAATACAGAGATATTGCTCATAATTTTTTTTATAAAGATCCTGTTTTGATGAAGAATCAAAAACTTCAAGAACCACAGTCTCAGAGCTGAGAGGCATTTTCAAAGCCACACTGATTCTGTGTATCTCTGAGTCTTCTGTTCTGCTTCAGACCAGAACCAGGGGTCCAGCCCTGGGACCATCTGAGTCTTCTGTGCTGAGATCTTGTCACCTTCCCAGGTGTCCTTCCAGGTGGAGCATCTGCTGCCCTTCCCCCGCACCTGCTTCCCTGCCCCCACCCTCCCCACACTTGCAAATCAAACCACCCCATCATGGTCCACAAGTGAGACCTTCACAAAGGGGCCCCAATCATCATTTCAAAATACTCAGAAAGATTTATGTTCATATATATATAAATATCTCTGAAGCATAGATGGAGCAAGCTACTTAGTTAAGTGTCAGGTTTGTTGGCCTGTTTTTAATTCTGTTTGGTCAAACATTCTTCTAGGTGGTAAAGCCCTGGTGTGTCCACTTGCTGTACAGAGGTAACTCGTGGTTGCTCTGAAACTGAACACTGTGACACATGTGTCAAATGCGATATTGGTCACCCATGGTGGACAGTGTTGGGTGGAGCTCCCCGATTAAAACAAGCTTGGAAGCAGGAGTGGCATTCACTTCCATAATAGCTTGCCTCTGGAAACCCTACGAACCCGGAGAAAGGATGAAAGTCATACAAGTGTTGAGGACTTTTGTTCATAGGGTCGCTACGCGTTGCCTTCAACTCGACAGCACTTAACAACAACAACAACAACAGTATATCTTATGGTTGTTGAAATTATGCAGAGCAGAATATAGTCCAGCAAATGACAGCCTCAACAAGCATATTTTTAATGGACTATCCTCAAATTTATGGAAACTGAACCAGAAAGAAATTTCTTTCCATGATTTCAATCAATTTTTTAATTCTTATTTTGTTTTCCCTAATGCTTCTTTGTACATGGCAAAAGTGAGGACAGAATAAAAGATATTCAGATTTTCATGGACATAGCAGAGTTATCCTAAAACAAAGGAGCTATTTTATCACTGGGGTATATGTTATCTTTGCACTGGTACCCAGAACTAAAAGTAAAATAAAGAAACTTTTTAAATTTTTCCTTTGCTGTTGAGAAATCATAAACTCAAGAAAAATATTTTAAAGCTTTGAGCATTCATGACCATCAGCTCAACTTGGTCTGTTTATATCATTTTTAGATGTTGTGACTCATTCTAGAAATATTCCCAATATCCTGTAGATTTCTTTTTCCTAAGTAAAAGCATATATCACAAGGTTATTACTGTCAATGGGGAGTATTTTTAAAATGAGTTCTCAGAGGAATAATTTCTACACTGGTAATGCTTCGTTCAGTAGAAATTGTTTCAATCTGGGCTGAGACCTTATCAAAAGGGTCAAGTTGTTGTTCAGAGACACTCCATGCTCGCAGAGTGCTTACAGGACCCAAAGCAAAAGCGAGTTGCACTTCAAAAAGTCATCACATCCACTTATTAGGAAAAGTGAAAGGAAAAAATATTATCCCTCACTAACTTCTACCCCCACCGTGAAACGAAATTTGTTTTGAAACTCAAGTGCTATCATAAACAGCAGGTTTCGCAGTTTCTAAGACTATCCTCTATTCTACAAAAAGCAAGCAAGCAAAGACATCTTGTGTGGACTCGGACTCAGAGACCCCACAGGAGCAGAGAACTCTGGCTTCCAAAGGGTCCCAGGCCTGGCCCCTTGCTGAAAGCGACTGCCACATCATTCTCCCAAGGGCGGTGGGCGGGTTCAAACCACCCGCCTTCACCTAGTGGCTGCGCACTTAACCCGAGAACACCATTCCAAAGGCACGTTTTCTCTATTCAGAGGCCACTCTGATTCACAAAGGGAGTTCTGGCGGGAAAGGAGTTGTGCTGCCAACCCAAAGGGACGTGGTTCAAATCCACCAGCTGCTCTGCAGAAGATGGGCAGTCTCCTCCTGGGCAGTTTTCTGCCTCTGAAAACCCCCTGGAGGGTCAGCTACAGGTCAGTTCTGATCCAACAGTACATCACAACAACAGAGCAAATTTACAAGGACATAAAGCTGACCCAGAGCGGGATCCTAGTCCCTCATTCCTTGGACCTTTCAAGACAGACTCAGCCAGCCTGCACCCCAGGCGCCTCTCACTCTTACCGTCTCCCCACGAGGACCGCGGCTCCCAGGGCCTCCTTTAGGTCCCGACTCGCCAGGCTCACCCTAGGAGGAAAAACAACGCTGAGGCCCCCAGGGCTCTAAGGCGGCTTTCAAGTCTTGCTTTTCTTCTAAACGGGGTCCCTTACTTACAGCTACTAGGGTTCCCTTACTGCACCTTAAGTGTTGACTAAATGATTCTTTTAAAGGCAGCATCGACACGTGGATTCTTGGGAAAGAATATAGAACATCTGTGTCTGTTTTTTCATGCAGACAGTGCTGTGTAGATGGGATGCTAACAAGGAAGAAAGAGAAGTAGGGTTTAAGAAGAAGGTGCAGAGGGTGAGTTTGAAATGAGCCCTGCAGCTCCACCCACCCTACACAGCACGACAGGAGATCTGGGTTCCCATGACTGCACTGCTTTTCCCAAGAGAGAGAGCTACAGATGTGCCCTTGCTGTGTGTTTACTGTTGTCATTCACCTTCAACAAGACAGTGGTCCCACAGGGACCTCAAAGAACCACAGATGCTGAGCACATCTTGTAAGGACAAGATCATCACTCTGAAATATGCCGCCATCTCTGGTTCATTATGGTCCGTTTCTGCTTTCCCCAAGGTTGCGAGAAAGCAGGTTCCCAAGCCGCCTTCCGGGAACAAGCCTGTGCTTATCTAACACGCGAAGCAGAGCTGTGAGCGCACCTCCAGGACTCGAGGAATGTGCGTCTGGGAGATGCTAAGCCCTGCTGATGACTGAATGCCCAGCCAGCCCTCCCCAAAGAGCCAAGTGCAGACAGACCAGACCATCCTCCAACCGACAGAACATTCCAGAAGGCCAGTGTGAGACAGACTTATGGTAAACAGAGGTCTTTCCAAACTAAGCAGATGGACAGACAGACAAATGAGGGAGAGGCACGGCGTGGCGCCAGCCAGGCGCCACTCCTTAGGAAACACGCTTCGCTGTGCTGTAGACGAACCTTTCTTCCCAGGGGGCCGGTCCTGCCACGGTCTCCAGGAGCACCAGGGGTCCCTCCACCTCCCTAGAGCAGTAAGAGAGGGCTGATCAGTTAACCGTGCACTGTCCGAGAAGTCGCTCTATTCCCACTAAGCCCTCCTCTGTCCCTGGTTAGCAGTCACAGCGGCGTGCCCTGCCAACAACTCCCCAGCAGGTGCGTCAGCACCTCGAGCTAGGGGCCCACTATAAACACGTGTGGGAACGGTTTCCAGCACTTTGAGGTCCTGCGAAAATGCAAAATATTAGTGTCAGCTTTAGTCGAATTTTCACAAACAAATTGCCATTATTAATGTCTGTGTTAATTAATGCAGAATTATTCACAATAGAGAAAGATGGAAGCAACCCGAGTGCTCACCCACAACTGAACGGATGAAGATAGTAAGATACCCTCACATGCCGGAATACTATGCAGCACTTAAGAAGAATGAACCCTTATAACTCTACACAACGTAATAGCTTTACAAGAGGAATTGCACGGGAGGAAGGAAGGAAAGTGTATATGAGTAAACAAAAAATACAAATGGAAAAAATGTACGTATTGAAGGAGCCATTCTCTAGAGAAGGACATCCCACGGGGAAAAGGAGAAAGGAGAGGGTCAGCACAAAAGAGGAGGACCCGGTTGAGATGGACAACCAGTGGCCACAACACTGAGCTCCAGCCCAGCAGGGTCAGGGTGGCACAGGCCTGGGTGGGCTTCACTCTGTCCTGCATATGGTCAGGGCAGGTGAAACTGACTTGATGGCCCCTAGTGACACCACCACTGTGCGTGTCCCATGATACTGAGCAGGCGACATGCCCTCAGATATGTCAGGATTTTGTTTCTTTTCACACTTCACCTGACAATCACCTGTCATACACAGGTGTGGAAAGGGCCTGTATGTGAGCAGAGGAATAAGGGAGCTCCAGGATGCCTGTGAGCTGTGGTGCAGGAGACTCTTGAGGACACCATGAACTGCTGGGAGAACAAGCAGGTCTGTCCTTGAAAGGGTGGAACTGGGCTTCTCCTTGGAGGCAAGGATTTTGAAGCTCCATCTCACATACTTTGGGGATGTTGCAAGGAGGGACCAGTCCTTAGAGAGGGACGTCAGGTTTAGAAGGGTTGAGGGACAGCACAAGAGAAGAAGACACACACACACACACACCCACCCCCGTGTCAGACCTGCTTTATAACAGTGGTGCTATGGAGTAGTTGTCCTTTTGTGATGGAGATATTTCACTCAGCATAATGTCGCAAAGAGGACTGGGAGAGAGGGGGAAGATAATTGTGCAACAATGAATGAATATAAAGTAAAAGTTAACCGTGGGAGAGGGAAGCGGGGGAAGGGGGTAAGATGTGCAATAATGAATGAATGAGAATCTAACTTTTCTGCAAACCTTCATTAAAATCACAATTAAAATTTAAAAATATATTTTAAGAGAGAGAGAGGAAGAGGAAGACCCTGAATGAGATGGATTGACTCAGTGACTGGGGTACTGGAGGTAGGTGGGTCAGAGACAATGAAGTTGGCTCACGATGAAGCAGGGTTCAGGCGTGTGGTTGTATACAGGGGTCTATGAGTCTCGAGCCCCTCAACAGCACACAACGATCTGCTGGGTTAGTGGTAAGGAGCTGTGCTGCAATCCCTAAGGCACACGGTTCACATCCTCAGAAGGATGGGCAACCTCCTCCCATGTGATTTACTGTCTCTGAAAAGCCACTAGAGGGTCGGTTCTGACTGGAAGTCACACAACAAGAACAACAAGAAGCTGCCTAGTGATAAGAAGCTCTGCTGCGATCCCAAAGGCGTATGGATCAAATCTACAAGCTGCTCTGTGGGAGAAGGATGGCAATTTCCTCGCTTGCAATTTCCTATCTCTGAAAACCCACTGGAGGGTCAGTTATGGGTTGGTTCCAACTTGGTGGCACACAAAAATATGTGAGTGAAAGAACCAATGAATAAATGAAAATTACTCTCACAAAGCAGTTCAGTTGGCAGCATCCAGAAATGGCACCAGCATTTATGGGGGGAAAACCATAGAGATTGGGGACAAAAATATCAAGAGATAGTCCTGAGATTGTTGATTCACTGTTTGAGTAGCCTGTCCCTAAGATGTGAGAGGAAGACCCTCGACGAGATGGGTGACACAGTGACTGCAGCAATGGGCTACAGTGTGTCAGATGATGAGGCTGGTGCGGGAGAGGACAGGGCTCAGATCTGTTGTCCACAGACTCACTAGGAGTTGTGCTGGACACAACAGCACTTAACAGCAACCCCTTAAAAAAACAACCACAAAACCTCGCACTGCTGTTTAATAGATTCCCACTCTAGCAAGCCTGCAGGCCAGAGGACGGCCCCACGGGGCTTCCAGAGGAAGCTGACCACTTCACTTACAGGCCAGAGGACTGCCCCACGGGACCTGCATCGCCTACAGGCCAGAGGATGGCCCCATGGGGCTTCCAGAGGAAGCTGACAGCTTCATCTCTCTCCTGCAGAACAGCTGGTGGGTTAGAGCCACAAACAGTAAAAAGTTTAACCACTGTGCCCCCAAAGCTTTGCTTTGTACCCAAATAACCTTCAATTCTGATTATTCACCATCACAAGAACATGGAAACGGCCCAAATGTCCAACCACAAACGAATGGGTTGAGAAATTATGGTACATTCATTCACACAATGGAATACTATGCAGCACACAGGAGCAATAACTTTGTAAATCATGACCTAACTTGAGAGGGACTGGAGAGCATTCTGCTGAGTGAACTAACTCAGTCCCACAAGGATAAATATTGTATAAGACCGTTATTGTAGAAGGAGTATAGGGATCCAGGAGGAGTGGGAAACGCTGGAAGCAGAGGGATGTGGATGTACTGGGGGAAGAGGGAGTTAATTATTGGATTGTACAATTTGATGGGTAGGGGGGGATGATGGAAATTGAAATAATTTGTTCGAATTTGTATTAGAATTTAGTAAATAAACTTGGGAGGGGGGGAGTGAAATGTTTAAAAACCCCTCAGCATCTTTGAAAATAGCTATTTATCAGATTTCAAATCTGAGGAGGAATTTGAGATGACCAATAGCCTTTCCCAAGCTCTCGTCTACATCTCTGTGAATGTGTGTGTTGTGTAGTAACAGACCAGACTGCAGGCAGGAAGCAAATGCATCTTCATCATTGCTGTTCAGTAAACGACAGGGTGACACCCCCACCCGCACGTCCTGTCACAGGAGGAGGGCCAGCAGGCGAAGCTGGGCAGCTGTCCCCAGCCCTGTAAGAATGCCAGGTTTCTGTTTGATCTTCCCTCAGTTCTGAGAAGTCTGAGCATGTCCAAGACCACAGAATGTTCACGAATATCCTCCTTTCTGAATGTGAGCATGCGAACTCTTTAGCAAATTGACAAACCGCTGGGGAAATCTCTGGGGACCAAACACATCATGGTTTCACCATCATCTAGGAATTTGGGTTCATTTATCTTCATTTTGTATCTCTGGGTGTTGTAAGTGGTTAATGCTGTGGGTTGATACCTGAGAGGTTGGTGGTTTGAGACTACCCAGAAAACTTCCTGAAGTAAGTTGATTGTGACTCCTCGTGACCCCCAAGACAGAGCAGAGCTGCCTGTGGTCTGCAAAGCTGTCTTCTTTCAGGGACAGGCTGTCCATCTTTCTCTCCACGGAGTAGCTAGTGGATTCAAACCGCCAACCTTTTAGTTATCAGCCTAATGTTTTGCCCACTGTGCCACTGGGGATCTTTTAGGAAGAAAAGCCCCATGACCATCCACAGAAAACTCTACGGAGCACAGGTCAGCTGTGACATACAAGTCAGAGTTAACCCACTGCACTGGTCAGAGGAGGTCACGTGGCTTCACCCATAGCTTCTGACATGATGTGGTCTGTCCCTTGGGTATCAGCTGACCTACATTCCCAAGGAGCAACTGTTAATCATCTCCACCTCTCTGTCACCAGCTTCTGCTGTCCATGTCAAGGTCCCTTCTAGGCGACACCCTGGGGCTTAGAGGTCCTTGGAGCACCCAGAAATGGGTTTCCTGTTTCCTTGAGCCTCTGCCAGGCTCAAGGGCCCTCATGACCCAGGAGTCAGACTCCCAGCAGGGGTGTCCACAGAATATCAGCAGGAGTCACTGGACCTTCTCGGGGAAACTCCAGCCTGGTAAGGGGTGGAAGCTGGGGTGGGGTGGGAAGGGTGGAGGCAGACTCACCCGGGATCCAGAGATGCCTTGCTCACCCATCAGGCCTGGAGGCCCCGTGGGGCCTGCTGGACCCTGAGGAGGTAAGAGATCTGCATCAGTGGGGAGCTCAGGTGAGGCCAGGGCCCTCTGGGGTGGCATCATGAGGTCACACAGCAGAACCTGCGACACTCATGCCCACCATCAAAAAGCCATCAGAGACACAGGTGCTTCTGTCTCACCCACAGAGTTGCAAGAACAACACACAACATATGTGTGAACATTTGAAATTTAAGACATTTCTAAGAAATGCTGGTACATGAGTGTCCATAGCCATGCCCTTCACGAGAACCCAGAGCGAGGAACAGAGGAACCGATGGACACTACAGGATCCATCCCACCAGGGGACACCAGGCGGGCACTGAGGACTGACGCTGACCCACGCTACGGCACACGTTAACCTCGAGATGCTGCTGGGAGGGAGCAGAACCAGAGGTCACACGTCCACTCGTCTACAGAGACTGGGGGGCAGGCAAAGGCATGGACAGAGGGCTGCTGGGGTCACACATACATTCATCTGTGGAGACCGGGGGCCAGAAAAGGGCACGGACAGAGGGCTGCTGGGGTCACACTTCCATTCATCTATGGAGACTGGGGGGCAGGCAAGGCCACAGACACAGAGGGCTGCTGGGACCACACTTCCATTCTTCTATGGAGACTGGGGGGCAGACAAGGCCACGGACACAGAGGGCTACTTGGTAGTGGCCTGGGCTGGAGGATGGGGTTTGGGGGTGACTGCTATATGAGCTGTGAGTGATGGAAATGTGCTAGAAGTATGCAAGGGGTGGTTGCTCCACACTGGGGATGAACAAACACCACAGAAGTGCCCACAGGACAACGGCCCATTTTGTGTCGCCAGGACACCCGGGAAGATCCCCCGGGATGCAGCCCTCTGAAGGATACTGACCTGTGAGCCTCTGGTCCCCTGTTCTCCCACAAAGCCAGGCTGGCCAGGACTACCCCTGTTGCCCTGAAATAAAAGGAGATGGAGGGAGAGGTTGGAATGGCTTCCATCGCATTCTCCTTGCCCTAGTCCTTTCTGGTTCTGGAGAAGGAAGCTTGGAGGGCAGCCGGGGTGAGGCAGCTGACAGAACTCTGCTCACACAGGGGGCTCTCGCCTGGACTCACTTCTCCACAAGATGCTCCGTGGAGGAGCGCCCTCCCACAGGTGAGAAGACAGGTACCCGGGGGTGTGCCTGGCCAGGACAAGACAAAGGGAAGAGACCCAGGGCATGAGTCCTCGGTCACTCTCGCTCGTGTCCCCCTGGGCCACCGTCAGCTCAGTGGCAGTTCTTTCTAGAAGAAACTCCTGCAATGGTTGGAGCAATGGTGGAGCTGGGCTCGGCTCGGAGCTCGGGGACGGGGGACACTAGTCCATGGGTTGAACTGCCTGAGTCCTCTGAAGAGTGCTGTTCTGTCAGCGGGATGCTGAGCGGGAGGGACGCTGGGCTGAAGCTGCGGAAAAGGGGTGTCCTCAAGGACCTTACCTTACTTCCTGCGGGGCCCCTTCGTCCAAAGCCGCCCTGTGGGAGGGGTCACAGAGACTGTGAGGGGGGTCAGGACTGCAGGGACACAGGAGGGACAATGGTGGTAGAGAGGTCACAGAAATTGTGAGGGGGCAGGACGGCAGGGACACAGGAGGGACAATGGTGGTAGAGAGGTCACAGAAATTGTGAGGGGGCAGGACGGCAGGGACCCAGGCTGGGGTGGTGGTCTTTGTAACCACCCACATTCACCCCCCAGGTGCCAGCGACTGCGTCCCAGCAGCAGAGAGGACACCAGCAAAAGAGGACCTCCTGCTCTCACACCCCCTTTGCAGACATTCTGCTTCGAGGCTGACCTTGACAATGAAGCAGTGCAAGTTCTGAGTGTTACTGAAGGCCCACCAGCAGAGAGTGGCTTCTGACTGTCCAAACACTCCCCAATTTCACATAAGACACATGACACAGGAAAACCACTCTCTCCTTCCAACTTCCCAAAAGTTGTGAGAAGTCATGAGATCCACCATACACTGGGAGGGTGTCCCAGTCTCCAGCACAACATGGCCAAACACAACACACTCTCAGCTGGTGCAGAGGCAGAGCGCACGAGCGTGGGCCCACGCCGGCAGGTCAGCCGTGACTTGGCACCATCGGCCTGGCCTTCCAGAGGTGACCCTGAGCTCAACAGATGTGGGCTCGCAGTGTGACCATGAGCCAGTTCCCACCGAGTGGGGCCTCCTCTGTGGTGGGAGGAGCTGAGGCCTGGACACAGAGTGGCCCTGGGTCATTTTTCCCAAAGTGCATTTGCTGTGGTAGCGTCAAGCCCAGCCTGTGATGGCCAGGCGCGCAGAGGACAGAACTCGGCCAGGGGCCCACTGCGGCCCCAGGGCTTCCCTGACTCGTTTGCAGCAGCTGATGGCGGGTCTGTCTCCATAGTCGGCTAGAAGCTTTGCTGAAACTCGTCAGCATCACCGCAGCCGGCCAGCCTCCATGGTGGCAACGAGGCGCACCGACGGTGGATGTTCTAGGGACTGTTGACACTGTGGCTCAGACAGTCAGCGGCTAACCAAAAGTTAGTGGTTCAAACCCACCAGGCATTCTTGGGGATAAAGATGAGACATCTCCCTCCGTGAACATTCCAAACCCTCGGCTGTCAAGTCCTTCTGACGCATGGTGAACCTCCCTTGACTTTCTGAGACTGTAAATCTCTTCAGAAGGACATTGTGCGTCCTCAGACTGCCGACCTTTTGACTAACAGACTGATACACTAGCCACTATGCCACCAGGACTCTGCACAGAAATCCACAGCCTTGGAAAGGCCATGTGCCAGTTCTGCTCTGTCCCGCAGGCTGAAATGGAATGGACTCGATGACGTAACACTTTGTAACACACATCAGCTCCACCAGGGGCTTGGTCTCGCTGCTCAAACTCAAGACCCGTCTGTCCACCTGTGTGTCCAGCCAGGACCTTCTGGGGTGCCCATATTGCACTACTCACTCTAATGCTTCCTGCTTTTGTGGAAGACCTTGGCCTTCATTCTTGATTGTCACATGGCAAGTGGGGAGCATGGGGGTCATTCTCCTCTCCCACAGAGCAACAATCTGACCTGGCCCTTCCCAGAGGAACCCATAGAGAATTACAGAGGCCACCCTGTTCTATGATACCTGGCTCAGGCCTGGCAGAGCCCAAGGAGACTCAGAAGGGAGACTCTGCGGGACATTGCACAGCCGGGTAAGAGGGACACAGCTCAGCTGGTACAGTGGGTGCTGAGGAAAGGGTAGTGAGCACACAGCTAGACTCCACTGACCTCAGGGAAGAACTGAGCCTGCAAGACCCTCAAGGGCAATGTTCAAGGCCAAGTTCCTGCTATGTGCAGAGATAAAAGCTAGCCAAGTCTTGTCTGGCAGCAAAGGTATTTATTTTAACAACTGTTTGGTATGTTGGATTTCCAAATGTGTGTTTGTTTGAAGAAATATATTAGAATGAAGAAAATGGAATAAAGTGCAGAGAAAATGGTAAGAAAATGGCAATTCTGCATACAATATATGGTGTAAAGTTTATAGATTGCCCAAGGGAAAAGTCACAGAGCCACTGGGTTTGGCAGTGGGGTGTCAGAATATGCCATCCCCTTTTCCTTATGAATCAGGGTGAAGTCTCTCTCAGGGAGGAGTGATAGGGAATGGCAAAGGACACACTGACAAAGGAGATTAATCAGAACTGGCTTTGACAAGCACGGTGGCAATGGGACAATTAAAACAGACTTTAAAGGGGAAAAAAGGGGGGATAGAGAAAATAGTGAAACAATGTATGAATGGAAATCCAGAATCTCTGTAAATGTTCATTAAAATTAATAAAATTTAATAAAAATTTTAAAAATTAAAAAAAAGAAGATGGACTTTTTTTAGCCATTGTATTAGCATCTTTTGTGGGGGGTGGGGTGCATGGTCTCCAGCTACCTTAACTACAGACAAACGGTCTTGCAAATCATCAACAACTATAGGACCAATATAAGAGAACACTTTTCACTGTGAGAGATGGTGGTGGAGAGAGGGTGAAGACACTGTGGCAAGGTGTAACCAGAGGAGCCCTGGGACTGTAAGCCACAGTTAAAGGTTTTGCTTGCTGGATGGTTGAAGGAAAAGCTGACTTGTAACTGCTCTGAGATAAAATGTGCTGGATGACTGAGGAAACCAGAAGTTTATTTGTGCTGCTGAACTGAACCTAGACTTTAATTTGTTGGCGGAGAAGCTGTTTGAACTAATTAAGGAATTGTGTCTTCCTGTTAATCTGTCTTGGGACTGCTGAACCAAACCTGGACTTGCATTGCGTGATATTCTTTGCCACCCCTACTCCCCTACCTCTTTACCTAATAAACCCCACAATTGTAAAATCAGTGAGTCAAATTGCAACAAATATTGGAACCAACAATTGGTAGAAATAGGTGCAGGAGCATGTGGGGTGGCATGTAGTTAGTTTTATGGTACTGTGGGTATTATTGATGGGGACAATTCCCCTTTACGAAGTGGGTAGATGTCAGAGTCAGCCTTGCCCACATTGTAACTGCTCCTTATACAGGCAGGATTGTGTGCTCTCCCGGAAAGCAGCCTTAGACAATCTTAGCATCTCCCCACACCCCATTTCCAGGAGGCACTTACATCTCTTCCAGGGTCTCCAGGTCTTCCAGGGGCACCGTCTCTCCCAGGAAGGCCCTGGTGGGAAGAGAATGTCATGGGCTTATCCTCCACAGGAGGACAGTTTGATTCTTAAGTTTCCCACAGACGCTACAGAGAAGGGGAGCCAGGGGCACAGGACACACACAATGTGCTTCCATATGAAATATGTAAACTTCTCTCTTTTTCCCAGTTGCCACCAATCAGCTCCATCTCATGGTGTCCCGTATGTGGGGAGCAGGGTGCGCAGTAGTTGATTTTTCCTGGACCTTTCGTTCAAGTAGCCTCTAGGTGAATTCGAACCTGCAGCCTCGTGGTTACCTGCTGAGCACTTGGCCATTTGGCACCACCAGTGTACACACTGCTAAGAAGGCCCTTTTGGGTGAGAAGGCTATGGGTCTGTTGCTGCACACAGCCACAGCTCACATAAGTGGCCCCAGTTTCCTGCTATTCACCCGGAGTGCTGGAAGTGTTGTCTGCTGGACCAGGATGCAAGGGCTCAGGATAAACACAGAAGGCAGGTCCAGGGCCACAGAGACACTCACCATAGGGCCGATTTCACCGGTTTCTCCCTTGGGTCCTCGCTGCTGGCCATCTCTCCCAGAATCACCCTGCCAACACACAGATCAGGAAGTGAAGTGCACATACACAAAGAGCCGCTGTGGCCTGAACCAGATGGTCAGTGTAGGGACCTTAGTAGCCACATCAACACACAGGTGGAGACAACAGCCCTTGGTCACGTCAACCCAAGCGGTACCCATCCAACCTACACAGAACCTCACTGAGAAGTCAGTGGACCACTCTGCACCACAGGGAGCACTGGGTCTTCTTGCCCCGGGGAAGGGACCGCAGTCCCCTCCATAGCTAAATGGAATCTCACTCTTGCCTCACCCTTGGCCAGAGAGGAGGACCACCCTGGAAGACAGAGGCTGTGACGGGAATTAGCTAACTACTCTTCCAGAGACATGTTTACAAGTCTTACAGGAGCCAGCTCTGCTCCAAAAGCAAACACAGAGTCCTGAGATCACATTTTAGAGACACTTCCTAAGTCTATATACAACAGTCTCACAAACACTCGTTCTGTGGGACTACAGAGCACACTACCAGCCAGCCCAGAATCGCAGGGAGCGTCTCACAAACACTCATTCTGCGGGACGACAGAGCACACCACCAGCCAGCCCAGAATCACAGGGGAGACGACAAGCAACACGCTTTCTGGAGCTTCAAGCAATTTCAGCAGTAGATTCTCCCCTTCATCCCCGCATCCTCCCACACTCCGCTTCCACTGAGCCTTCCCCAGACGTAGCTCTAAACGGTCAACAAAAATGTTCCTTACCGGGTCCCCTCTGATCCCAACACTGCCTCTTTCTCCTTGGTCTCCTTTTGGTCCCTTGTCACCCTTTGAAAATCACAAAAGAGACAAGGATTAGCTATTACTTTACATTTTGCATTCATTCTTGTAGTAAATCATGTCATTCAATCTATGTGTTTCAATAGAAGGGTGTTTGCCCTTCAGTCACTGGCCATAAAGGCAGAGTCATTTACAAATACTTCTGAAATATCTACTAGGGGCTCACTCTGTGCAGACGCTGGAGCTTTATTTACAAGTTCAGCCCCTGCCTACTGTGCATCAAGACACATGGGAACAGATAGACATAGAGAGGCCAGAAGGATAGGAAATCAAGGAAGACCTCCTGCAGGAAGGCTTAACATGCAAAAGTAAAGGAAATAAATAGTTCCTAAAAGAAAATATTTCCACAGAAATAGTCCGTTTTATCTTTTCAAAGATGTCACTCTGAGGACTAAGGTCCACTTGAGCCAAGTCACAGTCTTTCCCGTCATTTCATATGTGAAAGCTGCACAGTGAGTATGGAAGACCAGGAAAAAACTCATGTCTTTCAATCGTGGTAGTGGAGAAGAACATTTCTATATCCCGGACTGTCAAAAGAACAAGCAAGTCCATCTTGGGAGAAGTACAGCCTAAAGGCTCTTTAGAGGTAAGAACGAGGAGACTTTAGCTCATATTTGGCCAGGTTGTTAGTAGGGATCAGCTCCTGGAGAAAGCCGTCATGTTTAGTAAGAAAAAAAAAAGTCCCGCAGATGGACTAACACCATGGCTGCCACGACGGGCTCAAACAAGGCGCTGACTGTGAGGTTGGAACAGGACCACGTAGAGGGTCGTTCTGTCACTATGAGTCAAGGTCAACATGACGGCACCAAACAGCGTCTTCCTATGCCAGCAACTCTGTGGAAGGATACCTACCCTTCTCCCGGGGCTCCCTTTGTCTCCGGAAGAGCCAGGCAGCCCTCTCTCTCCCTGCCAAGGACAAGGAAACATGGTCATTTGCGTGTGATTTCTACAGCAGACGGCAGGGCTGGTCTCCACAGTCTCCAGTGTTAAAGAGCTGAACCAGGTAAACCACTCACCTGCTCACCATCAAGACCATCCAGCCCAATCTCTCCTAATTCACCCTGGGAATGAAGAAGACATGCAGGTGAGGGGAGAAAGCCATCGGCAAAGAAGAAGAAAGAAGCTCTGGGAACGTTTAAATGCACAGATAAACAACACAGGCTTACCTTCTCTCCTGGGAATCCACGAGAGCCCTGGAAGGCAAGAGGAAAGGGTCCAGCTTAGCTTCCTTTCAGTGAGGCTGGTCAATCAGGGCCTGACTGGCAAGACACACTGTCCCCCCTCCACCCCCACCCAGCTGGAAGCCACAGTGGCTGACGGTCAGGGTTGGTGGGGTATCGGTTAAGGTCCTCTCTTGCCATCACGTGGCTACTTATGAAGTTAGCGTGCTTGGAGCTGAGGAGAAAACAGACCTGCGATCCAGGGCAGGAGATGTGAACCCTCAAAGGGTCTCTGCAGGCCAGTGAGGGGGAACTTGCTGAGGGCTATCCCTTTAAGATCTGTTTTCTTTCAGTGAGTGAAGGAGTTCTTCATTCCAAACCCATTGTAGAATCTTCCAGAAAAACTGTCTTCTCCTGTCGCTCTGCCTGGCTTCTCACTGCAGTAACCAGGTTCTCCCACCCAGGGTCCTTGTTTGGTCTCAAGTGTCCCCTAGCTACCACATGACTCCGCAGGAAATGGTGTCTCGGTTCTAGACTCTCTCCAACTGGTTAGCTGGCCCCTGGACTCTAACTTGGAAAAGATCCTGAACTTCCTCCTCCTGACCCCAGGTCTTGGGGGGGGATACCTGGTGCCCCTCTGCACACACCTCAGAGCCCAAGCGGGATGCTACAGCCTCATCCCTCACCCCCACCGAGTGCCCTTCTGGAGTTCATACCTTTACACCTCGCTGACCGGGGCAGCCCTGGAAGCCCTGAGTGCCGTTCACACCTGGTGGGCCCCGTTCGCCCTGTGGGAAGAAGAAGGGGGACAGGTTAGCAGGTGAAGCTCCACCTGTCAGCCCTGCGGCACTGAGAGGACGTGCTCTGGGACTCGGGTCTCACGTCCAGAGTGACGACCAGCCCAGCAGGTGGCTGGCCTCCCCGAGCCCGGGGTGCAGCCTGGTTGGCTGGGCCTGAAACCTGTGTTCCCTCCCCTGGAGAAAGTCGGGTCTGGGCTCCAGTGTGAGCATGGAGAACCCAGCAGCCTGATGGCCCTTCCTTGGTCCCAGATATCAAGCAGGGTGAGCCCTGAACCTTCTGTTCTCTGCTCTGGAGGGAACGGGAGCTGGGGAGGGGGCCTGTGTGCTGTAGGTGAGTGGGGCCTAGAGCCAGTCATGTGGGCACTGGACTGTCCCTCCCCAGTCCTCAGCTACAGTACATGGCTGGGCCTTGACCTTTCAACTCTACCCTAGGTAAAAAGGGGGTTCTCTACGCCCAGGGTGAGGGAGCCCTGGACATCTGGTGTGTGTAGACCCCCCATGGAGAGCAAACCCAGCAATCTGAGTACACCCATTGGGCCCTCTGTTTTCCCACAGGCCCAGGCCTGTGATCTCACACATCTAGAAAGCTGCTTCTCCCTGCTCTTGGACTGGGCCTTGTTCTGGACTCTCCAGGCTCCCTTCATGACGTCCTTGGATCAGCTTGTGCCCCAAGAACAGCTGCTGGCACCTACTCCAGCCTCACCTGGACCCCTCAATCCCGACATGCTGAGAGTCCGCCTGAAGGAGCCTGTGCCCAGTCAGGCTCCTCTCCGCTCTAAAGCCTCAGTCCAGCAGCAATGCCGGGGCAGCCGGGTGGCCCTCTCCACAACCCTGACTCTCCCTTGGAAGGAGCATCCATGCAAGCTGGCATGTCCTTCCCACGCTGGTCTGACCCTGCTGGTGACTGCACCATTCTCCACAACACGCAAGCCCAGGGCAGTGGTTTGGAAGCCCCAAGGTAACCTTGCTCCCCGTTGGAAAACCTCTGGGAACTGGATCGATGGGGAGACCCCTGGGTCAGTCCCAAGAGCAAGGACCAAGGAGAAGATGGAAGGAAGCAGCTCATGGCTCTCACTTACCGGCCCACCCTCATCTCCGGGGTAACCTCGGTAACCGTCTTCTCCAGGGATGCCCTACAACAGAGAAGATCAGGACACTCCGTTAGCCCTGAGGTGTTTGCTCGGAATCCAGTCTCTCCATGGTGCCCATCTGTGGTAGTTCCCATGTCTCTCAATGTTTCCTAGACTTTGTAGCCTTCCCCAGCTCCTAAAGTCTGTGTTATTACTATTCTATCAAGACTTAAGTCTCCATCTCTGTCAAGAAAGACTGTTTCCTATTAACTCAAGGATAATGCCGAGGGCCTCGCTGACCACCCACAGAATGGTCATCAGTTGGAGACACCTACTGGCCTGGGCAGTATCCTGAAGAGTGTCATTCTGTCCCCCAGAAAGGAAGGACGACAAGTCTTTAGAGCATGCAAGTGGTGACTGTACTCTGTTAGAAAAGGTTAGAGGTTCAAGTCCACTGCTGATCTTCTGAAATCCCTAAAGATCAAAAGAGCGAAGTTGTCCTCTGGCATGGGTGGGACACAATGTCAGGGTCAACTTGATGACAGCAGCTGGGAAACCATCTCCACTGAGGCTTCCTGGTCTACACAGCGAGAAGACCCTTTCTTTCCCACCGTCTGTCTCCATGCTGGCTGAAGGCCTGTGTCTGAAAGCTGGTCTCAGGGTAATGAAAGGGAGGAACCCCCTTACCTTTGGCCCAATTGTGCCAATGGGACCTCGGTCTCCCCTTTGTCCAGAGCACTTGCACGGAACCCCACAGCAAGCTTTCTCAGCAATGTTGTCCTAGAAAATGGTAAAAAAAATATAAAGCTTCAAGTCTCAGGAATTACTGAGAAAGTAAAAGGCATGAACACCTTATGAAAGTCAAAAGCTGCTGCAGGTGAGGGAGGAAGTGGCTTTCCAGGACTTGAACTCAGGACTGGCTGCAAGGGGAGAGGGGTCCAGTGAAGACTAAGCAAAGTAGATCCACACTGCTGGACTGGGCATCCTTCCTAGATGTGGCCAGCTAGACAAACGTGTGTCAAATACTACACACTTCAATGGTTTTAACTCACAAACAGCAAAATCTGACAAAGTACAAAATTTCCAGGAATGACGGTGGCTCCAAAGCACAGACCCATAGGTGGTCCTTCCTCAGAACCGAAGCCCGAGTCAAGGGCGAGAAGCCAGCCTCCAGGGCGGCCATGGATGGACACAGGCCACACTCAGCCACTCAGCAGCCCCAGCCCTACCTTTACCTCATGGGGAAAACGAACACCCAGAACCCGTTCTCATCTGCTGACCTACTCAACTACTCGCCTGCCAGTGTGTGCTCCTGGGGAGGCTGGTGTTGTTCCGACACTGGAAGCTCTGTCACAGGCATTTAGAATACCAGCAAACCTCACCCACGTGCACAGATCTCAGTAGTACTTCCAGATTAAGACAAACAAGGAAGAAGCTTTCATCTATTTCTGAAAAATCAGTCAATAAAACCTCTATGTACCGCAAGAGCTGTCTGACTGTGGTCAGGAAGATGGGCCCCTAGGCTGGACACTGAACAATGGACATGAACACAGAAGATCATGAAACTGGCAGAAGACTGGACACCTCATGTCCTGTTGCCATGGGGTCACTGTGAAACACAACCAATCGACCAGCCGTGGTCATGTGCTTTGTCTTAAAATGTACTCCCAAGAGCTTTCACTCTACCCCATGTCCCCTGCTTATCTGGTCACTTCCTGACAGTCAAGTAAAAATTCCCAGTTCCAGTCCTGGGATGAAGCAGGGAGGAGACCTGGAAGAGCAGAGTCCACTGTCCCCATTCACATACACAGTCCACTCCTTCGCAGCCAAACACTGGTTTCCCAGACTCAGCCTCCCATTCCTAAGGCCCCCTCACTCCATCAAGTGTTTGTCACCCCCGGGACGAGCACGAGCACCTCCTACTCTGCAAGGACCAGGAGGCCGAAGGAAACGAGAGGAAAGGGAAGAAGTGGACGTCCTCGTCCAGAAGTGGCCATGCTTCTCCGGACCCACTGTAACACTGCATCATCAGAAATCTCATGAATGAAAAGACCATGAGCGACTTACTACTGGGAGCACAGGAAGTACTGAAGGGCCAACGAGCAGAGCCAGGACACTCATGTGACACGGCATAAGACAGATCCCGGTGCGAGCCAGGAGTCCTTGGACAGTACAACTGACTGTCATGCTTGGCTGCTAACCGAAGGTTCAAGTCCACCCAGACGAACCTCAGGAGGACAACTTGGAGGTCCATTTCCAAAAAGTCAGCCACAGAAAACCCAGGAGAACCGGCTTTCCCCAGGCACACACAGGATTGCTGTGAGCCAGGCTAGACTGAGTGACATCACGGTCAAGGGCATGAAATGAACCAAGTTTCCCACCTGCAATCCCTCCCCTGTTCAGCCTATAATACCTGCAAGGGAACCAATAGATTCAACGAGTTCAATATTCAATTAAAAAACTTAGATAGATTTCAACTAGTTGCAACTCCTCATTTTTCAGTTGAGAAAACCAAGGGCCAAGGTCAAGCCAGGATTCTCCCAGGTTCACAGATCTGTGATGCTGCGGGATAGATGAGGTCTAAGATGCCTGAATGCCCCATGGAAGAAGTTCTGGTGATGCATGGCTAAGGCAATCACTGCTAACAAGAAAGGCTCACAGGAGCAGAGCAGTCTGCCACATAATGCCCAGCTTCAGAACCTCGAAGGGCAGTCCTCCACTGGCCCTCACGGTCACCAGGAGCCAAAATTGCCATGACAGTGGGCAGTTTGGGGGACATGACGTTTGGGAAAGTCATTGTTGTTATGTGCTGTCAAGGTGGAACCAACCCAGAGCTGAACATGCAGCGGATTTTCAGAGAGGCCATAAATCACACAGGAGGAGATTGCCCAGCATTCTCACACAGATCAACTTTGACACAGTGGCTGCAACATGACTATAAACACAGCAACAATAGCAGCGACCGAATGTGGCATTTCACTCTGTTGTACTTGGGTTTACCATGAGTCAAAACTGACCCCACAGCGCCCAACAACACAGGGCTGGAACCAACCTGCATGCCACAGTCCCTGGCACAGGAGCCGATGTGTGTGCAAAGATGTAGGGAACTCACCAGCTGTTCCGCCAGCTCATGGTCCAGGTCCAGTAGGTTCATTCTCAGAGGCCTGTTATACATGAAGCCCCGTCCGAACTCCGCCTGCATCAGCCTCTCCAGATTGGCCACTCGTTCAAGACCCACGAAGATCAGAGCTTGGACGCCTGCAGGAGGGATGCATAGCCAGGCTCACCCAGGCACTTGAGAGACAAAACCCCTTCCTACTTGGACCAAGGCACTGGGGACTAAGGTCAAGCCTGCTCTGAGAAGCTGTGCCCTCCAGAACACTGTCAACTGGGCTGCCAATCCCAGCAGAGCAGCACACCCTGCATTTCTGGTTTAGAATCCAGCAACAGCAGCATCAAACCCACCTTCTTTTTTCTAATTTATTTTCTATTGTCTTACAGACAAAATTCGCATACATTATATTTCATTCATGCACATTGTGTTTCACACTCCTTCCATTATATTGTGCTTCATATGATCCCATACTGCGCATTTTATAAAATGAACCACTGTTGATCTATGCCCAGTATTACCCCAGCTCTTCAGGTCCCCACCAGGTCTTGCCTAATTCCTTCACCGCCTTCCTCCTCCCACCAGTCTCCATGACCCGGTGCTCTCTCCTCCTCCACTCCCACCTTCTTGTCGGAGCTCCTCCGAGGCTCTCTGTAAAGCAGTCAGGTCTCCATCCACCCCGTCCGTGAAATGAATGACCACCTGAAGGAAGAGACAGGTCACACCCCAGCTCACATGGAGAAGAAACAGCACAGTCCACACTGTGGAGAACTGCGAGGTTATCTAGATCCAGCTGAGGGAATTGAGGGCCAAGGTCAAGTTCTGATGCTCCTATTCTTACAGTTGTTTGTTATTGTGAAATAAATAAGATCTGGACTATATGGGCATGATCTAGGGCATTCACTTCACTACAAAACTACAAAACCAAGAGAGCTCTGGTGGCCTAGTGGCACGAAGCTGCACTGCAATCCCAAAAGCAGGTGGTTCAAATCCATCAGATGCTCCACTGGAAAAGGAGGGGCAACCTCCTCCTGTACCAGTCAGATCTGATTTGATGGTACACTTACACACACAAAAAATAACAGAATGAAAAAGAATTTTTTAAAAATACAAAACCAATGATGACACTAAAAAGAATTTATTCCACAGCTTCTGGGAATCAGATAGATATACACACTATGTAAAGAGCCCTATTGGAATTGTGGGTTATATGCAGAGCTTAAAAAAAAAAAGGTGTATAATTCAATCCACCCGCTGCTCCTTGGAAGAAAGATGAAGCAGTGTGGTCCCTGTAATATCTCCAGTCTCAGGACCCCAACAGAAGGTCATCATGAGTCAGAATTGATTTGATGGCATTGAGTAGGTTATTCCATCCATATAAAATACAGTATCTCCCTATATATGTGCGTGGATATGTGTGTGTGTGATACAGAGAGAGAGAAAGAAATGCTGATAGAAAGCATAGCTGATTGATGGATGTTGTTGCTGTTATGTGCTGTTCAGTCTCATCTGACTTATGGCTGATCTTCCAATGTGATTTCCCGGGCCGTAAATCACGAGAGAAAGGAGCGTCCATCTTCCTCACAGAGTGGGTGGACAGCACCATAATTAAACATGGATTAACCACAAGTTCAACCCAATCAAGCTTAATGATGGATTCTATCATTTTTAGATTGAGTAAGTTAAAGGAGCGAAATGAAGATGACAGCACATTTCAGATCATGAGGAACAGCCGATAAGTCACGGGCATTTGCATATACCCTTCAGCTACCAACCAGTCAGCTCTGACAGTGTGCATATAATCTGGGAGACGGGCTCCCAGACTCCCCTTACCAGCAGGAAGCCGGAGGGTGCACCTGGAGTGTCTGCACTTACCTTGACGCTGTTGGGCGAGGACATCCTGAACTTGTCCTGGTAGACCTTCAGTGTGTCAGCCGTGAGGACGTAGGGGTGCTGGTTGCGCATGTTCTGGAACTTCTCCATCAGCTCTGGCCGGTACTCGTCGAAGGCAAAGGCTTCCACTGGGCCTGAGGGTGTGTTGGCCACTACGGACACTCGCACCGTGGGCGTCTGGGTGCCAGTACAGCTGATCCTCTGCATCTGGCTGATTCGATTCAAGATGTCTTCCATCTTGGACTCGAGTCCCTTCTGGGCCACAAATACATTCTGATCTCTTGAACCATCAAAGCCCAGAATCACGTCCACGTTACAGACTGAAGAAGAGAAAGCAAAGGGATGACTTCAAATACTGTCCAGGCCCAGTTCAGGTCCGGGGCCAGGGCGCGGTGTTCATGGATGACAGGAGGTCCTTGTACTGTCAGCTTTGAGAAGCAATCTGATCATCTCCTCTCAGGGGGAGAAAAGGTGCCAACCATCAGAAAACAAAATTATAGGCCATTTGAGTACACGTTTGCTTTTTTTTCTATGTTGTTAATCATAGCTGGCAGGATAATCTTCAGTGGTTTTAAAATGGAACTAAAGTTTGTGATTGACATTAAACATGCTTGAGAACTCCAATATTCAGATCTCAAGTAACCGATCTAATGAATTCACAAACAGAAAAAGGAATCAACAAGTCTGAATCACTTCTGGGATCAAAGAATATGTTACAGAGAGTCAATTTTGAAAGAACAAGAAAAAACAGACCTCTACTGGGATCCAGGGGAAAAACTATCATAACAGGATCCTATTAATTCCTATTTGGATATAAGCAAATGTCAGAGGCAATCGAATGCTGGAAAGGTTCATAAAGCCCAGTGGTTAATTCACAAAACGAGAATGTTCCATTTTGATGGGGCTGGATGAACACCCTAAACTATTGCCCTCAGATAATTGTTAAACCTCAAACGGAAGTTTCCCCAGAGCTCCTTGCCTTAATTAGGAAAGCTTGTCTGTCTGAAGCATCGAGATTTTCTAAAGATTAATCTATGTACGTTCAAATTGACAAGAGTAACTCAAAAGGTTAGTTGAGAAGCTGAGGGGACAGAAAGTGGTTGTGAATGGTAGTAGAGTAACTTGGAAAAGGCTACTGAGAATCGTTACTCATCAGCAATGTTACTGAATCATGTGTGGAGGATTTCTTGAAATGGGATATCCTTAGCTGTGCACATTTCCATCAGATCTATGTGCATTTACTGGCTGTGACTGAAAGCACACACACAGTGGGGATTACCTTTGGAGACGTCAGACACACCAGGACATAAGGTTTCATGCATTGCATCATGTAATGTTTCCAGAACTTGCTCGCTCAGCTCCGACAGCTCTTGCACGTTCCCAACACGGAATGCCGTGGCACTGTTTGATGCTATCTTCCCAACCTCTTCTGAATCAATGTTCCTCACGCCCACTGCGAACACCTTGACGCCTCTCTGGGTGAGTGCCAGACTTGCTTCCTGCGCGTCCTCCACTGACTTCCCTCCCGTGATCACAAAGGCAATCTGTGGAACCCTCTGGTCCACACGGCTGCCTGCCTCAGACACGAAGTGGTTCAGCCGCAGGTGTTCAAGGCCCACCCTGGTGTTGGCATGTCGTCCCCCTTTGTAGACCACTTTGTTGATGGCGTCGATAATGTCCTTTTTGGTGGAAAAGTCCTTCAGGAAGAACTCGTCGGTAGGGTCAGAATTGTACTGGACCAGACCCACCTGGATGGAGTCACCTCCTTCATAAAGAGTGTCCACAATCTCAGACACAAAACGGAGCACTTCCTGGAAATTGTCCCTGCGGAAATTGATGGAGCCATCCAACAGGAAGATGATGTCTGCTTTCTTTTTCTCTAAACATGATTAAAGTAAAAATGAACAGAAATGTGGTTTCCATATCAGCACAAATACACAAAAGGTAAACATTAAAATAATTAAAATTAGACATTCCTATAAGCTATTGACACGAAAATCTTCAGTCTCTCCCATGCTTTTCTAGACACTGAGTGCACAACCCTTAGTCGAAAGCTCTATAAAGGTGCCCTGAAAGTTAATCATTTAAAAACCCCCACAAAAATAGAGTTAATCACATCCTTATTGGCTTTCAGCAATGGACAGAATCTTTGAGGCTGGCCATGCCTTGTCAAGCATAACCATTGAGTCTAAACCAACTCATTGCTAAATCTCCAGCAAGTTTTCAGAGACAGTTTATCACACTGGAAGAGACTGCCTCTCTTTCTCCTGTAGAGCACCTGGTGAATTCAAACTGTGTGCCTTTAGGTTGGCACCCCATTCGTTACCAATAAGCCACAAGATATCATCCTATGATCCTATGCTCCCTAAATTGTACTAAAACCAACAAGATGGATTGAACTGTGCTCCTGCCTGCCCCCAAATACATTTCAACTTGACCAGACCATAATTCTCAGTGGTTTGGTAGTCCTGTAATGATGTTACCATCTTTCATAAGAGAATCTGTTGTGATCAGTCAGCTAATCAATTGTAATGAGATTAGAGTGGGACATAATAGCCCTTCTCAACTCACATCCCTGATCCATGGAAGATAAGTTTTCTTGGGATATAACCTGAATCATCTTTTATCTTACAAAAGAGATAAAAAGAGAGAAAAGCAAGTAGAGTAGGAGGAAAAGAAAGAAAGAAAAAGGAAGGAAGGAAGGAAGGAAGGAAGGAAGGAAGGAAGGAAGACTGAATCAGAGTGTATCCTTAGAGTCCTGTGATGAGAACCTCCTAGACCCAAGAGAAGATTAATGCCAAAACAAAGGTATACTTTTGAGGATTGCAAAGTCCATAGATATGGAAAAGAAATAAGAACTTTTCCCAAGAGCTCACAGAGAAGTGCTACTCTGAATTTTTATTTTTAGCTTCTAAACTGTGAGGAAGACATTCACTTGTTGGTAATTTGGTTATAGCAGCACTAGAGAACTAAAACTATAAGTAATAGTTGATCTATAACAAACAAAAAGGAAGGAAATATGAGAACTAAGGTAAACTGAGCCCCAGTAATTCTAGGCAGAGTAGCAGGACTCCAGGAACTTGATAGGCATCTGGTGTCAGTGATCTGTGATTTTCAGTGTTTCATGGACTGTCACTCAACCTTTCCTTTATGATTGAATATAAATGATAGTCTCTAGCCAGAGGATGGGGAGAGGTACTAGAGAAAAAATATAAAACACTGGAAAAGCAGTTAGGAAAATGAGAAGGAGATCCCACAAATCTTTGGAATAATTAATGTGTGCATGCTGAAAGCCTGTGGCAGTCATCTGGAAAGCAATGGCATTTGTGTATGACTTTCTAATTGCAGAGTTGAGGTTGGAGCAGAGAAAAGGGGAAATTATAAGGTGGTTTAAGAGAGCTTACAATTAAGATGGTGGGAGACAATGAAATGGCTTTCCTGGAATATATAAATTCTAGTATAATTTTCTTAACTAGTCTAGAAGGTTCTCATCACTGGAGCCCTGGATCCACAGGGCATACTCTACTTTCCTTCTTACTTGGATACATAATCAGCATCCTTGGAACAAGCAATCAGGAGATGTATTGCAGTGGAAAGTCCACAGTGAGGGACCTCTCCAAATTACTGAGGAGTAATGATGTCAGTTTGACGACTAAGGTATGCCTGATTTAGGCCGCGGTCTTTTCAATCACTTGTTATACATCTGAGAGCTGGACAATGAATAAGGATGACAGAGGAAGAATTGATGTCTTTGAGCTCTGACGTTGGAGAAACGTACGTAATACCTCATAGATTGCCAAAAGAACAAACCAAAAATATGCCAAAAGATATGTCTTAAAGAAGGTGAAGTCAGAGTGCCCCTTGGAGACAAGGATGATAAAGTTTTGCCTCCCATACTTTGGGCATATCGCTAGAAGTGGCTATTCTTTGGAGAGGAACATCATGCTTGGAAAGGTGGAGGGTCAAGGAAAGAGAGGAAGCTCCTTAACCAGACAGGTTGAGACAGAGACTGCAGCAATGGGCTTGGGTATGTCAGAGATTGTGAAGATGCCACGGGATAGGACTGGGTTCAGATCTGTTGTTCACAGGATCACTATGCATTGTACTCAACTCAATGGCCCCTAACGACAACAGCAATAATCATTTTCTTTGGATGCCATGTGGTCATCATGCAGAGGAGGGTCAGGAAGAAGTGAGGGCCGGTGGAGGAATTCAGTTTGTTCTTGGAAGCCCTAAAGGATACTATCAGGAAGGAGTTCTTTCCTGATGGTCACACCTGCTCAAGAATGACAGGCGCTTGGTCTTATTGGGTGCCTCACCACTGGGCCAGAACTCACTTCCAAGTCATTCTCAAGAGTGCCTGGCTTCAAAGACTCCATCTACTGAAAGCAACTGATACTGATTAACCCTTAAGGCAGCTTTGTAGATCTTTTCAATAAGGCTACAATTAGCATAAGACATGAAAGAATCAATGGCCACATGTTTGTGAGGTAAGTTCCTTCTATAGGCTCAACTAGGTTCTCTTCAGGTCTTTCATTTCTAATATCTACAGATATTAGGAAATTTGGTAGCCTAGTGAAAGAAACTGAGCTGCAATCCCAAAGGCTCATTGTTCGAATCCACCACCTACTTTGCAGCAGAAGGATGGGCAATCTCCTCCCATGCATTTTACTGCCTCTGAAAACCCACCAGAGGGTCAGCTATGGATAGGTTCCTACTTGACAGCACACAACAACAACAACATGGAAACAACTCTAGAGAAGACAAACATTATTAACATGAATGCTAACCATCCTGCTTTAAAATCTGAATTTTTAAATGTTCACTAAATTAACATTTAATTTAACCAATATTTAATTTTTAAAAACAATCTTTCATTGTCCTTATAAAACAGCTATCACAATCTGTGGTCAATGACCACCCAATGTTTACCTGGGCGTGGGGGAGAAGGTATGTCCACTCTTGGAGGTACAGGGGTGCTGCCAGATGGTCCAAATGAGTTTATGACCCTGTCTTCTAGGTTCGGAAGTTCTCTAAAGTCCCGCACGGTGAAGACCAGATCCGGGTTGCTGGAGATGATCTGCAGCTCGGTTCGGTCAGCGTTGCGGTCTCCTACCCCTAGGCTCATAATCCCAGAAGTCTTTATCACCTGTGAAATCCTGGAAACATCATCCTGGGCCTTTCCACCGAGAAACAGGACGAGGTGTTGGGGCACACCATCTTCTATCCGGCTTCCAGCTGACTTCACAAAGAGATTCCTTGCCACAAACTCCAGGGCTTTGCCAGTGTTCAGTGGGGACCCTCCTTTGAACCTCAGCCGGCGGACAGCCTCGATTATTGCACTCTGGGATCTGTGGGTCTTCAGGTAGAACTCTGGGAAGACATCATTGCTGAACTGCACCAGACCGACCCTCACTTTATTAGTGCCAATGTTGAGTTTTCGAACAATCCTGTTGACAAAGTCTCGAATGTACACCATGCCTTCGCTTCTGACAGCATCAGAACTGTCAATCAGAAAGACAATGTCGGCAGCATCATGTTCAAAATCTAAGGATGAAAGTGAAAAGAGGAAGATTAATCCTCCTCTCATTTGGTTTCTGCTTTGGCTTCTTTACTTTGCATTATCATCCAACTTTGCATTTCACCAAATCATAGCATCAAATAAACATCAAAATGATACATTGATAAGCTGTGTATTGTTTATTTCTTGGGCTTACTAAACTTAATCATTAATAATTGAGCCTTCTTCATAACATACACCCCCCCAAAGATAATGTTCTGCACCCTACTTTGGTGAGGAGCAACTGGGGACTTAAAAGCTTGCAGTTGGTGATCTAAGGTGCAACTCTGGTCTCTCCCTTCCTGGAGCAGAGAGGACTGAAAAAAACCACAGGTAAAAGGATTGAAAATGGCGAGTCTGTAGCACTAATGGACGTTGGCAACCCCAACATCCATGATACTGAGACCAAAGGGACCGGGTGGAGCTCAGCTACCCCTGCTGCCCATCCTGGAAGCGGTGTCACAGAGGGTCCTAAGCACAGTGGGAGGGAAATGTGGGACAAAACTCAAAATCATAAAAATGGTCAGCTTTTCTGGTCTTGTAGAGATGGTAGAATCCCCAAAACTGTGGACCTTTGGGTCTGGAAATGAATACATTCCTGTGACACTACTCTCAACCAATGACAGACAGGCCTACAGCATGAACGCTCATACCAGGGGGTATTCGGTGCTTAGATAGACCGGTCAACCTCTCAAGGTTAAAAGCATAGCCTGTGCCCAGGGATAAAGCTCAGAAAGTAGGACAGAGAGGACTGAAGGAGGAACAGAAACATGGATCTGAGAGAAGGAGCAGAAAGCATGCTGTCACGATGTGAGGGTCGCCGTTGATTTCGTAAAACAAAATGGGTATGAAGGAAAAAACACTGATCTTTCTGAATGTACTCAATTTTAATCTTGATTATGCGATCTCGGTTATAACCAATAGAAAAATGAAATAAATAAACAAGTAGCATTGTGTTCTAAGAATCTACAGAACCTTGCAGTTCTGTCAGAAGAGATCCCATTCACTGGAAGCAACATCTTTGTTCAATCAAAGAGAGAGCTGAGGAAAGGCAAAGCCCGGAGTGACTTGTTGAAGACGACCACTTGACCAGTGTCCAGTCTCTCTCTCCAGCCTTCACTGTCACTTGCCCGAACACCTCAGGTGCAAGGAACTCACAGCACAATATCCTGTGCACTAAATCCAAAACAAGCTTGCCCTGTGTTTGCGATAGTGCATCTTCTTGCTAAATTCATCCTAAGGACCTCTAGTGGCTCTGTGCTTAGCACATCCGGCCACAATTCAAAAGGCTAGTGGTTTGGATCCATCAGGTATCCATAGAAGGGTGGTGTTTCAGGCTACTTTGTAAAGTTACAGTCTTGGAAACCTGTGGGTTAGTTTTACCTTGCCCTGGAGGGTCACAAGGAATCAGAATTTATTCAAGTACAGTGGGCAGAGGGAATATCACTTCTAATCCAGTACTCATACAAAACTTTTCATTATCATTTTCCCAATTTCTTTACATGAATCTTCTCTTTTTTTGTCTCATTATAATTTGTATTTGAGAATTCCAGTCCTCTCCAACTATAAGCTTATAGTCCACCTACATATAACTTAGTGATTTGTAGGAATTCTTGTCTAGAGAAAAGGACTTCAAAGTGTTTTAATCCTTACTTTAGGAACTTCCTAAAAGAGATTGTTCCACTTAGATCCATCTAGGTTAAAGGTCCCCTTCCAGAACTACTGACCATTCAAATATTTTCATCCAACAATTCCCCCCAGTAGTTTATATTATTCTGAGAATTACTTCACAATCTATATCTTCTCTACCCACCTTTCAAATTAATCCTAAAACTCTGGGCTCAGGGTTTTCTAGAATTTGAGATACTTCTTATCTGTATGAGGGGGTTGGGGAGGGTTTTTTGGGAGGGTTTTGGGGTTTTTTTGGTTTTTGTTTGGTTTTTTGTGTTGATTTTTTGTTTTGGGGTTTTTTTTTGAGGTTTTTGTTGTTGTTGTTGTGGCTGTTATTTTGACTACTCAAAGCTATACAAGTATTCAGGTCTTTCATTCATAGGGTTGCTATGAGTCGTCTAAGACCTGACGGCACTTGACAACAATAAAAACAATGAGAGAGCTCTGTTGGCCTAGTGGATAGGAAGTGATGCTACCAAGCCAAAGATGAGTGATTTTAGTCTGCGGCCCTCAGGCCTGGTTTTAATTGGTTTTGGTCAAACATTCTTCTAAGTCGTATAGCCTTGGTCTGTCCACTTGCTGTACAGATGTAACTTGCGGTTGCTGTGATGCGGAACACTGTGACGTGTCAAATGCGATAATAGTTACCCATGGTAGACAGTGTTTGGTGGAGCTCCCTGTCTAAAACAAGCTCGGAAGCAGGAGTGGCATCCAGCTTGCCTCCAGAAACTCTGTTAACTTGGAGAAAGGGTGAAAGTTATACAAGTATTTGGGTCTTTCGTTCATAGGTTCGCTATGAGTCATCTACAACTCAACAGCATTTAACAACTCATGTTGCCACTCCACCAGTCCCAGTGTCTGCCTCCTATCACTGGGCTGTTTATAGTGAAATTGTGGCCCAGCAAAAGCTGAGCAGAGCATGTCACTGAGATCATGAGAGCAGATCCTGACACTGGGCGGCCGGCTCGGGTACCCTGTCAGACATCGGTGCTCTCATGGTCAGCAGGAGAGCTTCTACATTGATATTAGATGTGGCTGGATGGACCAGCACAAACAGGAGACCACTCTCTAATCCAACCTGAACACAGACCAAAAACCTCAGAAACAACAGAAAACATTGTCCCAAACACAGGAAATAGCTGGGCCCCACCCTGTCTCAACTGCTGCTTCTTTACTATCCAAGCCTCCGCTTTGCTCTAGACGTTCCCCTTCTAGCTGAGATGCAGGAAACGAGGAAATTGCTGAACAATCTCTGCTCTTAACAGCATGCAATCCAGGGCAAGCCCCATTTCCTTATACCTTCCCCCAAATTGCCTGTGACCGACCTCAGGCTTCTGCCAAGTTCTGTCTGATACTCTCTCACTGGGAATGCTCATGACCCACAACAGACTTCTCCCTCCTTGCAGTGAGCAAAACCCAGCCTGTTCAACCAAAGGTGTGTCGTCAGGGCTAGAGGCTGGAGGTCACTAATCACCCAGACAGGAGGGAATATCACCAAGCTCAGACTTCATTGTGACTTAACATCATGACCGTGGCTCTGACCTAGACCAAACCTACTGCCCTTCAATCAATCCCTCCCCCGCCCCATGGTGACCATGGAGGGCAGAGTAGAACTAACTGACCCATGGGGTTTCCGAGGCTGTCTCATCCTTCTTTAGGGGAGCTAGTGATTAGAACTACCGGCCTCTCAGCAGCCCAATACTTAATCCACCGTGTCATCTAGGTCTTACCATCACTCTGGATGGCTAAGTTTTTCTTTTGAAGCACTCAGACAAGAAGCAAATCTTACCAGGGCGAGGATATGGGGTGCTGGGCAGGAACTGCCGAATTTGCTCGGAGGAGAGGGTGGTGATAGGGGTCAGCAGCTTCTGCTCCAGGCCGGGCAGCTCCCTGAAGGTGTTGATGGAGAAGACGTACTCAGGGCTGAGCGCGATCCTCACCAGCTCCTCCTGGTCTGCGTTCCTCGCGATGGTGAGAGGGGCCACGCCAAACTGCTTGAGCTCTATAGCCGAGTCAACCACATCGTCATCAGACTTCCCGGACGAGATGAGGACCAGAAACTGCGGGACACCCTCTTCAATGCGGCTTCCCAGGGGCCTCTTGAAGATGTTCCTGGCCACATACTCCAGGGCCCCACCGATGTTAACCTGCCTGCCCCCCTGGGGCCTCAGGCGCCTCACAGCATTCTGTACCTCGTCCTTACTGGAGTGGGCATTCAGCAGGAACTCCACCTTGGGGTCGTCGCTGAACTGGATGACTGCGACCCGGGTGGTGTCGAAGCCCACGTCCAGATAGTTCACGAGCGTCTCGATGAGGGTTCGGATATACTGGAACTCAGGCCCGGCCTTCTGGGACCCGTCAATGAGGAAGACCACATCCCTCTTGCTGCCAACATCTGGGAATGAAATTATACCATGAGTGGCTTTCACATGTGCTGACTGACGGGACATTCTCAGCGTGAACAGACCGCCTCCCAGTTTGTCACGGAACCATCATCTAACAGGGTCCTAATATCAGCTACTGTGTGTAATGTGAGAGGCTGAGCATCAGCGGAGGAGCTCATGGTGTTTCAAAGAGTCCCAACCACCAAACAGCATCTTAATCACAGCGGCCAGTGGCTGGACCTGCCCAGGGAGGTGCAAACCAGTGTGGCCAATTCAATAACCTCTCCTTTCAAACACCCAGGCTGTTGGTAGGTGGGCTCCAAGCAGCTTATTTATTAACAAGAGACATTAACCTGCCAGACCCCACACCACCCTCATCCGTCTACACACAGCTCTTTACGCAGACTTGGGCATCGGAATTAGGTGCCAAGCAGATGCCCCTCTGAGACTTTCATTTGGCCGAGCATCTTGGGTTCCCGCCAAGCCTATGGCATCTCTAAGCCAAGTACTCCGTAATCTTGTAATTACGTTTCACCCAGGTGACAGAGGCCATAAAACGGAGAGGTTTTTCCAGCCCATCATTCAAACGAGTCAACCAGGCTGGTTACAAGGACTGAAGGACCAAGCGGCTCCCACCTTACCTGGACTTGGGGGCAGAATGGGCCGCAGCCGCTCCAGCTCTTCACGGTTGAGCTGAGTTACTCGCTCCGAGATGACCTGGTGGACAGTCCCCAGGTTGCGGAAGGTCGGGATGGCCACCGCAAAGTCCGGGACAAACGAGATGGTCTGCATCTCTGAGATGTCAGCGTTCCCGATGCCAATGCCGATGGGCACCGCCCCGCCCCTCTTGAGGACCACCGCGGGCCCGCGCACGTCATCCCCAGACTTGTCGGCCGTGAGGACGATCAGCAGCTGGGGGATGCCTTCTTCGATCCGGCTGCCTGCAGAGCTAACGAGGATATTCCTCAGCACGAAGTCCAGGGCAGCTCCAGTGTTGGGGGTCGAGCCCCCAAGCAGGCTCAGCCCACGGATGGCGCGGATGACACTCTGCTGATCCGTGTAGGAATTCAGGTAGAATTCGGGCCGGGCCCGGTCACTGTACTGCACCACGGCCACGCGGACCCGGTCCTGGCCCACGTCCAGGCTCTCCACCAGCCTCTGGATAAACTCCTTCAGCAGAGGGAAACCTTCCCTGACTCCGTCGGAACCGTCAATCAGAAAGACCACGTCCTTCTCACCTGAAACTGAGAACAGGCCACGATGACACACACAGGACCCCCCAGTGGTGATTTCATAGCAATCATGGTCACTGAATGTCCAGATTCCCAGAACCTGTGACACTGTCACCTGCTACAGAGAGGGGTCTTTGCAAACGTGACCAGAGAAGGGTTTTGAGATAGGAAGGTTGTCCCGGAGGAGTTTCAAGATCTAGTAGAATCACCAGGACCCTTAGAAGAGAGAGGCTGGGGGAGATGTAAGGGGCCCCAGTGGTCAGAGGGGGAGAAGATGCCCCACTGCTGGACTGAGAATGAAGAGAGAGCCCAGGAGCCAAGGAATGCAAGTGACCTAGAGAAGCTGGAAAGGACAGAGGCGTGGCTTCTTCTCTAGAGCCTCCAAAAGAGACAAAGTCAGCTGATGCCTGATTTTTAGCTCAGTGAAGCAGATAATTTAACATCTGTCCCCTGGAACAAGGGCTGTTAGTGCTGTGACCAGAACATTGCCTGCTAAGCACAAGGTGAGCCCATCGAGCCCACCAGCCTTTCCAAAGGAGATCGATGAGAAGCCTGCTCCTGTCAAGAGTCTGTCCTTGGAATCCCCGACCCGCAATTCCACTCTACACGATTCTACTTACAGTGTTATCACGAGCCAGCTTTGGCTCAAAAGGGTTGGGCCGGGTTTAGTTTCTGGTATTTCTTACTTTAGGGTTTGTGTAGTGTCCTTCCAGAAATGTGAGATAATGGACTTGGAGTTTTTAAGCCATCAAGCGTGTGATCATTTGTTACAGCAGCAGTAGGAAACTAATGTAGTAAACTAATATAGCCTTTTTCTTTTAGAATTTTCTGATAGTCTTGTCTTATGACAGTAGTTACAGAACAGGGTTCAGATCTTTTGTTTATAGAGTCTCCGTGAGTCATATTCGACTCTACGGCCCTTAGCAACAATAACTTGTCTTAATAACTTTCAACTGTGTGTCCAAGCAAGTTTCCTTCTTTTAGTTAGTAGAGATATATTATGAAGCTAACATAGTGTAGAAATTGTCATCTTATAAACGAGAAAATTGAACTTTAAGTTATTTGCTTCAAGTCATGGTGAATTAGTGGGGGAAGGGCTGGTGCACTAATTCTCACTCATAGCAACCGTAGGGACAGCAGACGAGATACTGCTCAGCCTGGGCCGCTGCAGCCCCCGTGGGCAGCGACACCTGGCAGCAACAAAGACACCAGAAGCTATGGACACACTGTTTCAGCCATAATGTACCCTTGTATGTTTGAATTATGCATATAGCCAAAGCTGTGTTTTGAAAATGAGAATTTGTAACTACCCATACGTCTAAATCTGTATCATACTATACAATATTCTGATGTCCTTTAAAAATAATCATTGTGTTTCTTCTGTTTGATTTAGAGTCGGCAAAGGATTTTATTTTTTTAATTGCAACACAGTCTCTTCTGAATCATAAGGACTCTAGACTCTAGTGTTGCCGAGAAAACCTGCTTCTGGCTGGCATATCTCCAGAAGCAGATTATCAGCGAGTCGATGAAGGGAAAATCAAACAGCTCTCCTCTGCTCTCTCTGCAGGATGTCCTCAGAAGCCACGGGAGGCTGTTATCTGAGAACTGAGGATTGTATCCCACCCCACCTCGTGCACCGGAGAATTGAGCAGCAGAAGGAATACCTGGTGTTGGTGCCCCATTGTGGACCGTCTTCAGGAGGTTCACTATCTGAGGTTGGAGCTCTCCAATCTTGGGAAGTGACTCTGCGGCCAGGATGAACGCTGGGGACAGCACGATCCTCTCCAGCTCCACAGGGTTTGCGTTCTTGGCTTGCAAGACGAACGGCACCACCCCGCTCTGTCTCAGAGTACCAGCGGGGCCATCCACCTGGTCAAACGACCTTCCTGCCACCAACAGCACCAGAAACTGAAGCACCCCATCCTCGATCCGACTCCCAGCGGCCTTGACAAAGATGTAACGCTGGGCGTAGTCCAGCGCGTAGCCGATGTTAAGCGTCTTGCCCGTCTTGATCTTCATCTTCTTGACAATGTTCAGGATCTCTGGCTTGTTCTGGTGCTCGTTGAAGCGGGACTCGACTTTGACATCGTCGCTGTACTGAGCCACTGCAACCCGGGTCCCGTCAGGTCTCACATCCAGCTCATCAATGACCCTTTGGAGGAAGTCTCGGACAGCTGGGAACTGGCCCACAAGATTGGCTGAGCCATCAAAGAGGAACAGGATGTCTCGTTTGCTCTCTGGAACAAAAGTGGGTCACGGCGAGGACAGAGAGATTAGTAGGCAAAACCTGGCTTCAGCCCCGCGCCACCAGCATTGGGTAACGGGTGTTTAGGAAATGCACCTGGTGATCACTGTACCAGCAAAGAGGGGAGAGCGACGCCAGCGCTCATCGTAAGGTCCTGTTCCTAAGGAGTGTGTGCTTGCTTGCAACGCAATCAGCCAACTAGACCCATCTACCCAACCTGGTTCCACGCTTCCTCCATGAAGTGAGCTGGGAACAGCAGTTCCCCAGACACATCAGAACAGGAAGCGATTCTGAAGGCTAGAAATGAAAGCATTTCAAATGCAGTCCTCACTGCACTTGCATGTGAGTTAAGCCCACAAGCCCAGCTGAGTGACCACAGCTCAATTCCACTTGGATTGTCCTTTCTTACTGGCTGGTGGCTGCTGTGCACAGCACCACAGCGGGCATGTGACAATCAACCATCTTGCCACCATCTGTGTCATGTCAGAGTTCGCAGGTCTAATATTCCCAGCGTCTCTGTACGATTCATTTAGGGGAAGAACATGAATCTAGGAATTTTTAAAACTTGTTTTCCTAACACATAATGACAGCCTTTGTGGGGTTTTGAACAAACAGCTTGCTAGAGAACAGAATCTTAAATATAAAAATATCATATGAAGGCTGCATAGGTGGAGTGCGCTTGGAGGGAGGGATTGTAAAATAATGAAAGAATTTTTCTTTTACTTCTCAAAGAGAAGAACGAACTGGAGGGGAGGGGTGGGCGGGGAGAAAAGTGCAACAATTAATGAATGGAAATCCAAAATCTCTGTAAATTTTCATTAAAATTAATAATAATAATAAATATATATTAAAAAATCATACAAACAAAACAATAATAAAGTTTAAATGGCCCAATGCATTAAAAGGAAGTGCTCTATTTTTCTGTCTGTCTCTCTTTATTTTTCTCATTCTTATCACATCCACATGGTTCTGAACTCCAGAATCTTCTTGGGAATTGCAGAAATAATTTGTGTGTGACATCCTGACAGAACATGAGCCGAATCAGTTCTACTTATGTGACCAATGAGCACCTACAGCGTCTTCTAAAGGGTCTCACCTTGCTGGTACACTGTCCCTTCCCGACCACAACCCCCCACGTCCCAACCTCCTGTTCCAGGTATTTAAAATGCTCTGGGGTTCAGACGGGCCAACTGCCCTCCAAGGAAGCCAATGAGGGAGGAGAGGGAGACCCGGGGGTCGCAAGGCACAGTTACCTGGCTGGCCGAGGGCAACTTCCTCCACACCACCACTAACGTAGGTGGTTAGGGGCTGAATCAGCTGCTGAGGCAGAGCTGGTAGGGAGCTGAAATCGTCCATGAGATACACCAGGCTCGGGTTAAAAGCGATCTGCTCCAGCTCGGCCTTATCCGCCTGGCTAGCACCCACACAGAAGGTGAGCACCCCTGCGCGTGCTAATGCATTGGCGGCTTGCAAATAGGAGTCCTGGGAGCGGCCGGCCGTGAGCAGGACCAGCAGCTGGGGCACTTGTTCACGGGCGCGGCTGCCACCAGCTTCAGTGAAGTGGTTGGCATGGACAAAGCTGAGGGCCGAGCCCATGCGCAGGCCCGAGCCCCCCTGGAACTGCAGCTGCCTCAGACGGGCCAGCAAGTCCGCCTTGGTCTGGTATGTATCTAGAGAGAACTCCGTTACGGGGGTGTCACTAAATTGCACTAAACCAACACGAATATTGTCATGTCCAACATCAAGGTTGTTAACTAGGTTCATTACAAAGTCACGCACATAAGGGAAGTTGGCTGTTCCAACGTTGAGCGATCCATCCAAAAGAAAGATGATATCCCTTTTGTTTATGCGCACTGCAGTGAGGCACAGAAAACAGAGACACGTGAGACCAGCGAGCTCGCACCATGTGTGCACCGGACACGTGCACACATGCCAAACACTGAGGACGCAGACAGTGAGCCGGCAAAGCGTGTCCATCTGGTAAACATGGTGGTGATGGTGGTGGCACGGTTTCCTCCTGCGGTGGCTGGTGTGGGGGTGAGGCGTGCTGACAGACAAAGGGGGGGGGTGTCCCAGAGAGATACAGCGACAAAGTTCCAATTGTGACACCAACGGACCTAAGGGGGGGGGGGTCCTGGAGACAGAGCCTGCCTTGGAAATGGCACCCCCAGGGGGTTGTTTCTTCCTGTCTCCCTCATGCATGTGACCCGGTTCTAGCCAGGTATGTGTGTGCCCTGCTGAATCCTACACACTACAGGCGAAGATCCCAAACCATTACCCAGAGCCCAAGCCCAGCTGCTGTCGAGGTGACCCTGTGCGTGCCAGAGTAGAACTGCACCTCACGGGCTTTCTGGTGGGTGATTATTCTGGAGACAGATCTCCAGTTTTTTCTTCCCAAGCGCTCTGGGTGGATCTGAAGCCCCAACATGCAGTTAGCCACAAAGCACATTTCCCTTGTGCCAGGATCAAGGGTAACAAGAGGCCCTTGAGTCTAGAAAATAAATAAAAGCAGGTTCTTCTCATTTTAAAAGAGACCCAGAGGCTTCTATGTGTCATTCTCTACTGGTAATCTTGTCCTCCCAGGAGTCCTAGCCCAGTAGACAATGACAGCCATCAGAGTGCCTGCGGGGATGTCCCCAAGGCATGATGACAGAGCAGACTGCTCGCTCTGCCTGACACATCAGACACACAAGGAATATAATCCAAGACTGTTAGTTACCATTTCTTTCCTGATGCGTCATTAAAAGGTAAACCTCACAATGAATTGCATGCCATGTCCTGTCAAGTTGAACTTTGGCGACGAAAGTAAGAGTTACAAATTTTAAAGAAGGAAAAAATTAGAGTGAGGCTGTGGAAGGGCCGAGAAACTCAAGAAAAGCATGCATCCATGCAACACAGTCCGTGCACCCGCAGTCCCACAGGAGCTGGTGAGGTCAAGGACCTCATCTTCATCATGGATGGTGGGTTCTACACATTTGGGTCACTAGCCCAGAGGCCCTGATGAGGTCCTGAAAACAAGGTTTCACTGATAAGCACATCCCCTGAGGGGCTTGAAGAACCAATGGGCTGTGAGTCTTACACCTGAACGCTCTCTAGTCTTTCTTATTGGATGAAATCTCTTAAAGAGAGGGGAGGGTGCTTTAAAAGCAGAGGATTCCATGTCGTACCCTAATTAAGGATGGCCGTGTGGAAGTAAATTCTGGACAAGGAGGCAGGCCACATTGTGGTGGTGGGGAAGAGAGTGGGCCCTTCAAAGCAGAACACATCGAGGGACTGTCCACCTTGGCCATGGCTTTAATAGGTGGCCCCAGCCCCTACCATTCTGACTGTACGATCCAGTTACGTCACACAGCTCGCAACCCAGGGTAAAAACATCTGCTATTTCGTGAGTGACCTCGTAGGACAGAGACCTGCCTTTCAGGGCTTCCTAGGCTAGAAGGCTTTGTGGGTTCAAAGCTTTGGGTTGGCGTCTAGAGGCCTCCCCACGGTGCCATCAGGGCGTCCCTTCAGTAAAAGGGGACCTGAAGCACATCTTGGTTGCTGCTGGTGTCATCATCCGACAGCTGTCCATATTGGGCATTCATTAGGGAAACACACAAACACTTTTTTAGCAAAACTTCTGCCTCCAGACCACATTACTGCATGTCTCCTGCTGTCCCCTCCCCCATACCTTCAGTGGTTCCAGTGAGGGTCCTGAGAGGTGCCAGGAAGGTGGGCAGCATGCCTTGCAAAGGGGCAACCTGGAACTCGGCCGGGACGAACACCAAGGAGGAGTCGAATGCGATCTCTTCCAGCTCAGCCTGGTCGGCAGCCTTGTTCCCGACAGCAAAGGCCATGATGTTACTGGTCTTCAGCTCGCGGGCCGGCTGGCTAACCTCATCTAGGGACTTACCGCCCGTGATCAGCACCAAGAGCTTGGGCACCCCCTCGGCAGACCGGTGGCCAGCCGCACTGGTGAACAGGTTGCTGCGGACATAGTCGAGCGCGGAGCCCGTGTATCGGGCTGGGCCGTTCAGGGGCCTCATTCTCCGTACAGCGGATGAGACCTCCCTTCTGGTGGAGTGGCTATTGAAATAGAACTCGGGCTTTACAGTGTCTGCATACTGCGCCACTGCCACCTGGATAAGGTCCTGTCCGATCTCCAGTTTCTGAACGACCTTGGCAATGAAGTCACGGACTGCATTGAAGTTGGCCGGTCCCATTGTAGAGGAGCCATCTACGAGGAAGACTATGTCCCTCTTGTTGACTTCAATGACTGCAGACAGCAATATGGCACAGTGAGTAGGACAGTCTTAACAATCTCACTCAACAATGACCAATGACCCTGGCTCTACTGGGAAGACTATCTCCCTTTCGTTAATGTCAATGGCTACAGGGAACTAGATGGCACCGTGAGAAGGAAGGCCTTCTAGACAACGATGCTCTCAAAGCCAGCTCCACTGAAGGGACACGCCCACTTGTTCCGGCCAATGGGAAGTCACGCCAGGACCCCAGACAGCAAGCTGTCATAGCATATAAGCTCACTACAGTTGTACCATTCTCTAGAGAATGGTCAGTCCCCTCTCATCTGGCCCTTCCTTAGTACTTGTTTTACAAAACAGTTGCACACAAATTTTGCTCTTGTAGCCATTGTGCTGACATTTAAAAGTTATAAGCCGTTTTCTTGCCATAAATGCAAATCTTGACTTTTAATGACCAGAAGGAAGCCTTCTTTGGAATAATTATAGGAGAAAGTGGGGTATCCTCAGAGAATCTTGGCTTCATGATTTTTATTTCAAATGATACACATTACCAACTGCAAAAATGTCAAGAGTTCCTGTGGGTCTAGACTCCAAGGGAAAAATGAAATCCCTCAGACGGCAAACTTAGTAAAGTTATTAAAAGACATGCGTATCAGAAACAGTATGTGCGACAGAAACACTACCAAGCAGCACTCTGTGCTCAAAGTCTTCCGCAGCTCATTAAGACTCTGACAAAGAAAAGTCGCAAACCAGAAAGTTATCAACAAGTTCTCTTCCTGCAAGTGGCTTGTGAACTGTCCTCTGGCAGAGGGGCTGCACCAGCAAGTAGAAAACTCCCCTAAGTCATGGGATCGAAGGGGGGATCAGGTGAGAACACCCACCCACAACCTTCAGAGACTATACGGAAGCCCTCTCCAAAGGGAAAGGTGTGCAATAAATGTGTTAAATTCATTTATTACGTCCTTGTACTGACTCAAGGAATCCTTTGGCATGCTCTCCCTTCAGGCATATGATATGGCAGTGAGACTTTATAACACGTCAATTCACTGGAGATATAACAATGTCAGTATTATTGGCTCAAACTCTCCTCTTGAAGTGCACACAAGGACCACTGCCTTGGCACTGTGATCTAAACAATAAATTCCAGGTCTTCAAATTCCAAGGAGATCTGACGATGCGGAATGCTCACTCCACAAACCTGCTGTTAGAGGGTAAGTACCACATGCCTCTGCCTTCTCCCTCTAAGGCTCTCCAAATAGAGATAAAAGGTAAGCAAAGAGATATGAACAGATGTATATGTACAGTGGATATTGAAATAGAGATTGAGAGGGGTATTGTGATGGAGTGGTTGATGTCCTCCTAAACTATGTTTTGAAATTCTACTCTCCCTACCTTTGGATGTGATCCTGTTAGATCATATCAAGGAGGGTTCTAACCCTAATCATTTCTGAGTTACAGAAAGAGCACAAAGGCCGCAGAGGCACACATGGACAAATAAGACACACAATGGCAGACAACGGAATGCCACAGAGACTAGAAGTTCAAACAGATAAGAAATCACGCTTTGGATTCCGATTCAAAGGCCCCTCAACAGTGAAAAAATGAATTTCTGTTCCTTAAAGCCACCCACTTGAGCTATTTCTGTTGTGGCAGGGCAAAGTTGTTGATACAGATATAGACATACAGACACAGATAACAAGGCATCTCTTCAACGTTTATTGACTAACAAGGAAGCGGAAACTTCTTCTAAAATAGCTATTTCTGTGTGAACTCCTTTGTCATAAGTTCAAGAACCTGGAGCCTAGAGATGTTGCATAATAAGTCTAGGGTCAAATATCTGGTCAGCATAAAATCTAGGACCAGCAGTCGGTCTCTTGACCACGGACATGGAACTTCCTCAATGTTAACAAAACAATTGTGATTTCTTTGTTTCCCCACATACACAAGCCCAGAGAAACCACAATAGTCTCACCAGTAATGGTGACATGTTGGAAAAGAGCTCAGGCACGTCAAAGGCTTGTGTGGTTGGCCAGCTTCTCCTTCTTCTTCCCTGGCTATTTCCACTTGACGTTCCCCCAATACTGACCTCTCTACCAGCTCATCTAAAGGACATGGTCAGTGCTACCAAGGAAGGCTGGGCATTTCAATGAGAAGAAAGGCAAACTGCACTGGGTTGGTCTTACCAATTTAAAAAAATACTATTGAAAAATGTATTCAAGTGAGTTAACTTCACTCATGCTTTTTGTTCTATTCACCAGGACATGGGACGGGACAGTTCTGGTGTTCACGGTGATGTGTGTACTTTAAAAAAACCTAAAAAAAAAAATTTAAAAAATATATATATATATAATCTCACTGCCCTGTACTATCTCCCTGCAATTGTCATTACAACAAAGGCCATCTTTCAAAATCATTGGGAAGGAAGCATAACTAGCTCAGCTTTAATTCTATCCTTTTGTAAGAAAAGGCAGTGATATTAACCTGAATCTCTTACAGCACTGCAACTCTAGTTAACAGAGTGCTGTCAAGCATCAGTCCACTGCACACATATGTGTGGAGAGAAAAAAATTTCAAGTAAGACTTTCAAGTGCTTCTCTCTTCATGTCATACAGTGACATGTCTTCCAAAATGGTTTATTTGAAAATTATTGACAACTCTTTTTCAGAGGTAAGCTTATCCATAATCCCAGGTTCTAGACTGAGTAAAAATAGATTTACTTTGTAAATAATCATGTGGAATTTACTTTAAAAAGTACTAAGAACTTTGAGGTTGTATTGATTCACACAAGAAAATGGGAATCATTGGTTTCAGATAACACCTAAGGTCTTAAGGCAGCTTCAGTATTCATCCAACCCTACTGTGTGCTCAACAGCACATAACAAATAATAACAACTGTGCAGTGAAGAATAAGACCGACAATGTTTTATATTTCAGAATTAATCTTGTTACGGTCTCCCTGTGTGCAAGCTACCCTGGGAAGTGAGTTGGGCATTTCTGGAAATGACTGAGGGGTCACTTACTCACTAATTTCCCAAGTAGTATTCTATTGGCCTGACCTGAGCTACGAAATTGATGCATCCTGTAAGGAGACTGGTGTCTCAGAAAAGATCTCATCCTGGAGTGGAAGCTGTGCCTGAACCCTACGTCAGAGCCTGCCTCACAGCCCAGTCCCTTTGCTGTTTCTGGGAAGCAGAGAATCTACACTGATGGGCTTTTCTACCATTAGACAGGTGGAATGCCATGTCTGCTTTACATTATGTTAAAAGTATCCCAATTTATTTACTAGAAAGATGTCTAGAAATATGAAGAAAATTTCCAAAACGAATTTCACACCCATTTTCATTTACCCTACTCAACAAAATATAAAATATCATCACTAATAAATCCTCTGACTATCTGAGAAATCTTCAGTCCTTCGAAGCTGGTGTGAATGGATCCGATGTGATTACAACTGCCACAGCACTGTTGAATTCTGGTTTGAGCTTTGAAAAGACCCATGTTTGTAAAATGCTTGTCATGTGACCTGGTTGATTATGTCCTTTTAAAGCACTTCTGTGAGTTGTGTTGTTCAAAAAAAGCTAGCCCTAAACTGATGAGCACAGAGAAAAGAAGTGTTCATAAAGCCTCCACCAAATGAATGCTTTGTTCGTTCTTACCTTCAGAAGACATTCACCTCTCGACAGCCCCGCTCAGAGGCTCTTGGAGAGACACAGTCCTCATCACACACTTCGCCATTGCTATGGGGAAGAGACTCTTTATGTCTGAGGGCACTTGAGCACCGACTTTAGGAGCCAATACCACTGTCTTGGTGTACGTTTCTCAGAATTGTGATGAGAACCAGTTATCAGAGCTGAGTTTACAACTCCATGTACATCAGAGACAACTTCCACAGAGTGTTCCACTTGAGGAATAATTTCCCAGGATGCCTCAAGGTAGACACTTCTCACCAACTTTTCAGTCAGCAGTTTTGTGCACTAACCATCTGTGCTTCCCAATAAACCACCTCAGATTCACTCTAGGATGACTGGTTGGCCATGTTCACCGTCAGAGAGTGAGCGCTGCATTGAATTGACCTTTCCTGACTACTCACACTCTAGCAACGCTGGGCATCCGTCCACTCATCGACCTGTTGTCTTTCAAACACAGTAACACACACATTTCACTTGGAGCTCATAAAGAACTGCACTGTGGGTACTTACAGGCTCTCCTGAGATGACTCGTTCTGGTGCTGCCTGACTTCTACAAAATTCAACACGCACAATACCCCCCACCCTCACTTCTGGCGAGAAAAGCATACATACCTTCAGTGATAATGGTTGGGGGTTGCAAGACAATGCGTCTTTGGGCCACGCCAACAACGTACGGCAGTAACTGTTCCTGGAGGTCCCCAAAGCTACGGAATTCCGGGACAGTAAACACCAAGTTGTCATTGGTAGCTATGTGCTGGAGCTCTGCCCGGGAAGCAGCCTGGACACCGAGGCCAAACGAGAACACGCTAGCCTGCTTCAGGGCGACCACCCCTTCACGGATCTCATCACTAGATGGTCCAGCACTTATGAGGACCAACACCTGAGGAACCCCTTCCTCCACTCGGCTCCCCCCTGCCCGTGTGAAGTGATTCTCCACCACAAAATCCAGGGCAAGGCCAACGTTGGCCAACTCCCCACCGGTGAAGCTGAGGGCCTTCACGGCCTCCAGAACCTGAGCCTTGGCGGAAAACGTGTTCAAGGAAAACATGGTTCTGGGCTCATCACTATACTGGACCACCCCTACTTGTATCTGCTGAATCTCAGTCAAGAGTCTGTCAAGGAAATTCACAAGGAAGTCTCGAATGACTGCGAAATGCACACTTCCGGTGTTGTTTGATCCATCAATAAGGAAAATAATGTCAGCAGAATCTTGTGCTTTAAGAGAAAGAAATGCAAAAAAATGTGAAAGCGTTAGAACAAGTGACAACATGCATCTGTTCGGTGTTCTGACGTGTTTCTTTGGAAACCAACAAGAAACACGAAATATAGACAAAGGAAACACATGGTGATTGAGGAACATGACATTTTTTCAGGTCTGCATTCTGAATGGATAAGAGGCAACATCTCAGGCAGGATGGTGCAAAAAGGGAGCACTAGCATCCTTACTTCACTCGGGCTGTTTTCATGGTCAAATTTCACAGTCAGCACTGCATTCACTTTTCTTAGGGAACAACCTCGGAACCTGTTCTGGGGAGTTCTACCAACTTATAAGGAGAATCCTAGTGCTGGGACTTCTGCATTCTCTTTTCCTCGAAGGGAAAGTCCACAGATGACTGCTAAATTTTGGACATTGCTCTAGACTTCTTAAATGATCATGTGATTTTTAAAAAAAAATTTTTAAGTAAAATTTTACAACAGCAAAACAGAATTCACAGTCTGGTGACTCATTCATTAGCCCAGTGTGTTAATCAAGTCAGCAATCAGCATTTCCTCCTTGTTCTTTAAAATTCAAAATGGCAGAGCATCTACAACTTTGAACCTCAAGAAAGAACTAAAACTATACCTACTGTTTGTATTTTTTAAATGTCTTGATGAGATTCTGGTTTGGTGTTTTTTGGTCTCGTAAAATGCTGAAGTATAATGAAATCCTAGATACAGGTCTAGGATTGGACTAGATCTCTTGTTGATTTACTTTTGTTGTTGCCTCTGTATTCAATCATATAATGCAGAACAGTGTTAAACAAGGTGATATGGAACCAGTCATGACACAATTATCCAACCTTATTTTTATGACACCCTAAACTGATTGCCTTCTGGGACCAATGGCATGGAATAAGTTCTTGATCAAAATTAGCTCTGGGGCTCCAGTAATGAGGTAAAAGTGGCTCACTGAGACCCTGTTTCTCCCCACAATGGTGAATATGAAACTCCCACAACTCCAGTGAGAATGGAATTCCATGGAAACACCTAGCAAGGAGTGAGAACCAGTAAGTGTTAAAACCAGGACAAAATACTTCAAAGGTCTAAATAAAGCCTTTAAATAATATTTATTTAAATGAGAAGACGCACAAGGCAATTATAGCAAATAAGTTCAATAACATAAGTGTGTGTTTGGAAAAGGATGAGATTTTGTTGAGTCGACAGCACATAACAACAACAACAACATCTATAATCCAAATTTTGTACTGATAGTGGATAACTCATATGTACAATTATTGTGTCCTTGTGCCAATAACTTTGCTTTCCCTTTCACTGTGGAGACAAGAGAGCAATTATAAGACCGAGGAAGTTTCTGTAGTGAAACTATATTCTGATCCAAGTACTCTCCTTGTATACGTTGAAACAGAAATGTCTATAATCAGAGCCATTCTCTTCCTCTACTGACAAGCACAAAACTTCCTGACATATCTGTAGATGGATCCTCTGCATAGGAAGCTATTTACTCAGTGTAGAGGATCTCACAACCCTTTCCATAAGATCAAATGTGAAGGATGATTATTTTTATAATAGTTAAAAATCTGTGCTTTTATCTACTGTGACACAAAAGTGTTAAATAAGACTAAGCCTCTGCTAAGAAATAGAAGATAATTAGGCAGTCTTTTGCCAAAGTACAAGATTGCTGTATGATCTTTGGAAAGTATGAATTACAAAAGATGTCATATAAAGGGATCACCTCATCATAAGTGCTCTGCAGATGGCACCACCTAAAACCTTCAACATTTCCCAAACCCAATCCAATGACCATTAGGAACATGGAGGATTTTCTACTGACTAGCATATATAAAGATTTAAAAGATGGTTTAACTATAACATTAAGAGATCTCTTGCTAATCTATATTTTATTTTGGTTGTATTGTATAGTCATCTAAATAAGATTCAAGAACCCCAGGAAAACATCCTAGAGTGTTTCTCTTCTTCAAGACTGAACACCTACTAAAGCAAATCATAAAAAAATGTTGGATAATTTGTCATCACTGAAAATAAAACATCATCTTACACACACAATGATGGAACACACAAGAGCATGCTTGTTACCTAGGTGAGCTAAAGCCTCAAGTAGACAAAGGACCAAGGTTTCTCAGGGGCAGCAAGGCATACCAAAGACCAATACAGTACTAAGAGTAAAAGAGATTTATCTAAAATTTTTTCACTGGAAGTTTTCTAGTTTAGTTGTGTTGGTTTGTGGGGTTTTTTTGGTTTGTGTTTTTTATTTTATGTTTTGCTGTTTTGTTGGGCTTTTTTGTTGTTTTGGCCTGTGTCTCATACATGTCTGCGATTTGGTGGGAAGATTTGCAAATGTCCATGGAAAAATTATGAGTTCCTTCAACACCATTGGAAACACAGTTTTTCTAGCACATTTGTACAGGCATGGTGCCTGCCTTAGCGAACATTCTTATTTCCCATGCAACACATTAAAGCACATACATTTGGAGACTTTTTCAAAGCTTCATAGTTTTTCAGGACAAAGAAAGCTCATGTGATATTCTTGCTATTGCTCTATCACCTAAACTTCCCATTTTAGTATAAAGGCTTGTATCTTGAGTTCTTTAAAAAGACGTCAGAGGGCTTTAAAAGAATATAACTGATCACCTTTAGGGATTGATAAGTAGGGTTAATTTAGACCAATGGTGATCATTAACATTGTACATAAATGTGCATCTTATTATCACATACACTGTAGAGGCAAGTCACCTAGCCAACAAGAAATCAATGGGAAGAAAAGACCCTAATTCACTAACAATCATTGTAATGCCCCCTAGATATCTTTCCGAAAACTGTAAGCTTTGATCTATTATTATTGCTATTATTGTTTTTAATGGAGCATGCAGTGAGATGTAATACTAGAAAAATTGCAAAGTGAAGTTAATTAGAAAAGACAACATAAATGGATTAATAGTCCACCTTGGTGCTGCTAGTGAATTGGACACTAGAAGACAGAGATGCTTTCTTAGCATAAAAACAAAGGTTTTTATCATCTGAAACATGTTGATTGGCTTTTAGTACATTCAATATGAGAATCTAATTGTTTGCTCATTTATAAAATTGTTAAACATAATGAAAAACTCATCCAGTCATTTTCCTGAACCTGTTACATCAATCAAGAAAAGATGCCCTATTTATCTACTGATCTTTTTCAATCTTTCTCAACAGGGATTTATTTTATCCTTTTCTTCATAGATGTGATAAATCAGTGAGTCAGTGCTTCTAACAATACTGTTGAAAATAAAGAGTAGGTCATCGTAGATAGCTTTTACTATTGCTTGATAACACAGAGTACTGAGATTGAATGTTCTTCAGGATACGCATTTCCTAGTGATGAAATCTGGCAGGCAGATATGATGTAATCATGCCAGAAATGGGACATGACCCTTGGAATCAGGAGCTGTTCCTCTTCCACTAATGCCCATCAAAAAGCCTTTTCTTTTTGCTACTACAGAAAATAGTCTGAATATTTCTCCTTTCACTGAGAACCCAGTAAGCAGAGACATTAATAGCGAATCCCCGACAAAGATAAAATCACATGGAACCCTTAGAAAACCATTTTATAAGCAACCGTCTGAAATACCTAGCAACAGCTCGATTCTGAAACCCTTCTTTCAGCCATGTCCTTCCAGTTCAAGACTTATGGCTCCATTCAGCCAACATCTAGTTGCTCCACCTCCTATGCTCTGTTTTCTAAAGCTTTCTTATAAAAAGTTACTGCTTAGTACTCTTTTTCTAATAAAAGACAAAACTAAACCCATTGCTGTCAAGCCAGTTCCTGCTGATAGGCGTCCTATACGCCTATGGAGGAACTATCCCCATAGAGATTCCAAAGCTGCTGCAATCTTTACGGAAGCAGACTTCCTAATCTTTCTTCTGCAGAGTGGCTGGTGGCTTCAAACTACCACCTTTCTGGCTGAGGACTGAACCACTCTCCTTTCTCTGGCCTTCTGCTGTCTACCCTTCTATACTCACTCACTGATGCTGAGTCTGTTCCAGCTCCTAACAGTCCAAGTTTCTGAGGCTGTAAATCTTGAGCAAAGACTCCCTTTCTCCCAAGAAGCAGCTGGTGGATGTGAACTGCCAGAGATGTGCAGCCTTTTATCAAAGAGCACAACACCCTGCAGACTAAGACATCTCACTTGACCCTATAGACTGCATGGTTTGTACCTCAAAGCTTCAATTCTTTCTCTTCCCAGCTCCATCCACCATCTTTAATAAATCAGGGTTTGACTTTCCAACAATTGCCTTCTGCCTCCTAAAATACGCTAGACTGTAAACACTTTCACAGACTTAGAAATAAACTTGAGGGGGGGGGGCAAAATCCTTTTTCCTTTCTTTTCTATCAATTTTTTTCTATCCAATTTTTTTCCACATTCAAATACTTGTCTATTTCTAATTTTTGCAATTATATACACAGAACAATTTCTACAAGATTCCCAAAATTTCAGCTACACAACCTGCAGCCACAGTCCATATGGATACTACCATCAACTCTAGAAATTTTAACATCTGTGGACAACCTCTCTGAGTGTCAATCCCTTGGTTCTTTAATACTCTGTCCATTGCATCATAATTATATGAGAGCTACACTATCAGCATCACTTAGAAATTTGGCGGTGACCCAAACTGCCTTCCGATGGTTCCTTCTCTACAGACGTAACATCTTCCTTTTCACATTCAGCTGCTTCTGGGGTTTTTCACTCTCATCTTACTCTCTAAGGCTCTGATTCTTGAGAATTGTCCAAACCTAGCTTCTTACCAGCCAGCATCTGATGATGGGCTATTTCAGGAATTTTCTTGCTGTTACTGTAGGTTTCCTTTCAAAGAAATTATTCTTCTTGACTCACTCACTATCATTCCTTTTTTTTTCATAACACTGAACTTGCTCACTTCTTCTGACCTGGAGTTTACAGATATCTGTAGAAAATCATATAACCACCAACATAGAGAGACCTAACAGCTCATATTCAAACCAACAATTGCATCATGAACATTATCTGAAGCCTTATTCCATCCTTGTAGAAAAAGTTTAAAAATAACTTTAATTCTTCCAAGTTTCTCTATACAACTGCTACTCTCTCTGCCATCATCCTTTATGGACATAGATGATGCCAATTCAACCTGAACTCACTCAGATCTATTTTATTCACCTTCACATTATCAGAAATATAGCCCTTTCTTTCCCTTTCTCTCTTTCTCAGAGGAAGTGTCACTTCTCCTTTCTGAAGATCATTATTCCTTCGATGTTCTTGATTCCATCCTAATTCCAGGTCTATTCTACCCAGAATCTCCTGAAATCATCTATCAGAAAGCCACATGGGCTCATTTCCTATAGGAAGAGGGTCCTTACTCTGCTCTGCCCATTACTTACAAGTAAGTCTATTCGTGGAGACTGCTCAAAGCTATTCTTATATGGTCCATTTTAAATATACTTGTCAAGTTCATTTCTCACTGGAGAACTAATAGGATTGGTGGCTAAAAAACCCTTATCTGCTGGTTTGTACTATGTCATCATGGAATAACATGTCAATGTAATGCTTATACTTGGTCCTTCTAGGGTAGAACTTATGAGTGTCAGTGGCACATGAAGAGTCTCTATGGGCACAGCCGTGAGTATGGCACAAAAAAAGATGCGAGAGAATCCAAAACATAGGGGCTTCACCTCTAGCTCTCTGTCCAGGTGTGTATCACTTACATTCTCTAGGGTTCAATTTCTTCAAGATAGTGTCAAGATAGATCTGAGGTTTTTTTCTCTTTATCATTTTATCAACCAATTCTCTGAAATTTACTCCACAGATCTCAATGTAATTTAAGTGGACAAAAGTGAATGAGCTCCTTTTCTCTCTTACCTTATGACTTTCTGATATCAAGTTTTCTATACAGAAAAGGTACTTTCATTCCAAAAACAGAACAAAGGTAATTATTACTGGATGCTTGTCCAGACATGCTGAGGGTCTATTTTCTAAGTAAGGTAGAAGTTATGATCCTTTTACTGGATCAGAATATGAGAATGCATGGAATTTTTAGAGTTAAAATATTTGTTGTCTCAAAAATGTAAATAAATAAAACTTCCTTCAAGTGTGGCCAAATGCTGTATTTTAGAAAGAGACTGTAGAAGAGTATCCAAACCTTTGTTTTTATACTTGTGAATATTCATCTCATCTTTAACCCCCTCCCATCACCTTCTATTAGCCATAGTGCTGCTTTTAATATCAGCAGTTGCCAAGCTTATGTCTAAAGAACAGCAGGGCAGTAGCAGCTGTGGCAATGTTGCCATTACCTGTGATGTCTTTAAGGGTCTCTGTGTCCCCAGCCCTTTCTGAAGCCATTGATGAATGGACACAAGCCACTAAGTTTCCTACTATGTCATGCAGATAGGTATAATTCTCTAGGTTGAAAACATGTGTATTGAGCGGTTCACTTGCTATTTCCTTTAATGTTCCTTCATCTGCATTTTCAACTCCAATTGCAAACACGTTCACATCAGCAGACTTAAGTTCCGCTGAGGGCATGGCAAGGCCGTCCTCCAAGCGTCCATCAGTTAATACTACGATAACCTGAGGGACTCCATCACTGGCTCGGCTTCCAGCAGCCTTAGTTAGGTGGTTTTGCATTACGTATTCTAATCCTTTTCCAGTCTGATTGCTTCCCCCAATATAAGACATGTTGGAAATATGAGCAAGAACTTCTTGTTTAGTATGATAGGTATTTAACAGGAACTCCGTATATGGGTTTCCGTTGAACTGGACCAGAGCAAAATGGAAATCATTGTCTCCCACAGCTAAAGATTGCACAACATCATATAGAAACTCTTGAACAAGTGGAAAATGTTCCTTTCCAATGCTCCAAGAGGAATCCACTAGAAATATTACATCAGCAGCGGCACCATTTTTGACATCTTTAAAAGAAGACATTGATTTAGATTTTTCTTTTCCTACTGTTCAAACAATCACTTCCTACCAGAGCAGAACCTTCCTAAACTAATTCAGCTTATACTATGCTGTTGCTTAACATCTTAAATCTCACTTGTAATACAAACAAGCAGACCACTTACCCGGGATGTAGAGGACCTGGACACATGGACTGAACAGTTGATGGTATCTGGACATTGACATGAATTCCATATGCAATGACCACAACTCATGAACATGCTCCAGATGGAAAACATCAACTTTTTATTTTTTGTTTTTAACTCAAGTATAATTACTTGTGACAGTTTGAGCCCAAGATCATCTGATTAGACAAGAAAGTCTTACCACAGACAACCAAACATCATTTTCCTAATTCACTTCTCATTTTAAAGCATAAAACGAGGCTTTGGCAGAAGAAAAGTGAAAATTATTTCTGTTTCATTCACAATATTTTGAGTCATTTTCTAGAAAAATAAGTATTATTTTTAAAAGTCTCATTTTAGTGAGGTAAACCTGTGTATATGTAGAAAAGCCCAAAGTCTCTGTTTCTCCAACTTTGAACATTATGAGAAATACTCTATGATTATGCCTTTTTAGGGCCAAAAAATATCCTTAAGAAATGTAGATCATTTATCTCTTTTAAAGATGGATAGACCTAGCTCTCCCTCAACACTAGAAACAAAGAGTATAAAGTTTTCTGGTGATCAGTGTCTTATAGGGTGCCCTTCTTGTTGTGACCCATGCTTGCTGTAACATAGAGGCTTCTAGAGTCTATGTGATGCTTGAGCTAATGTGCCTCTGCCACTTAGATGGAACTAGCTTCCTCTGTCAGAGATCCTAGCTCTCTTGTCAAAGCATAAGACTCAACCTAACTCCACCTAACTTATAATCTACCATTTTACATAGAAGAGTCATCTTTCCTTTTCTAAATATCTACAAACAAATTATTCATAGTAATCATTGAAATCTATTTTTTAATCATTTTGGAAAAAATCTTTAAAGATACAACTAAAATAAAGATGGGGTGTAGGTACAGTGTTCTAGAGATGATCTTTGTTTGTCAGAGAAAATATTCTTTTTCTTTTTCGTGCTTGTATTCTCCTAATTTGTGTTTTCAGAGAGAGACCTAGCAGTATGGAAAAGCCAGAAATATGTAAAAGTTCTTCATGTGGTTAAGCATTCAAGAGATTTCTGCTCATGCCCAATGTCAAAACAAGCTACTTACAAACCAACTTATAATATCAAACTCAAACTTTGTAAAAATAAAACATCTCTTACAGGATTAAAAAACCTTATTTGGCTTTTAAAAGCATAGCTAAGCTCTACCTCAAGCTCATAATGACTAAGATCTAGAGTCAGCCAACACAATTTCTTTTCATAGAACCAAGAGGTTTTTAGACCTTACCTGCTTCTTGTTGGGCATGAGTAATGGAAAAGCCTGAGAGAAAGAGCCAAAAGAGAGCCACGAAGGGCAAATGCTGATGTTTCCTCATTTTGAATTGTCTAAGCACCAAGTATGTACCTAGGAGAGAAAATAGGGCAGAGGAGAAAGGTCAATTTCATCTGAGCTAAACAACTTCCTGAAAAAAAGAAATGCTGTTTCTCTGACATTTGTTGATCTCCTAAGTAGTTATCTGACTTATATTCCTAGAACCAAAGACACAGATAAAAAACTAGATGATAGCTAGAGATAGATAGATAGATAGATAGATAGATAGATAGATAGATAGATAGATATCTGAAAGTTATGTGCGTATAGTAATCTCCCTTTATTCATGGTTTCCATTTCCAAAGTTTCAGTTACTCCTGGTCAACCGTGGTCTGAAAATATTAAATATGATGAAATTTCATGCCAAACGGGATTTTTTTTGGGGGGGCGGGGTTAATTATTTTTGTGTGAGCTGTGGTGCTGGAGAAGAGTATTGAATGTACCATGGACTGCCAAGAAAACAAACAGATTCATCATAGAGAGGATTAAACCAGGCTGCTCCTTGGAGGCAAGGATTCTGGGGCTTCGTCTGACATACTTTGGACATGTTGTAAGGAGAGACAGGTCTTTAGAGAGGGACATCATGCTGGGTAGAGTAGGGGGACAGCGCAGGAGGGGAAGATCCTCTATGAGGTGGATTGATTCAGTGACTGGGGTACTCGGGATGGGTGTGTCAGGGGCAATGAGATTGGCACAGGATAGAGCACTGTTTAGGGCTGTTGTACATAGGGTCGCTATGAGTCGCAAACGACTCGACGGTACATAACAACAACATGTACCATCAAATAGGATCTGACTGTTATAGGAGGAGACTGCCTCTCCTTCTCCAGCAGAGAATCTGTTGGATTCAAACCACGCAAGGAGGGACAGGTCCTTGGAGAGGGATATCATGCTTGGGAGGGTGGAGGGACGGCGCAGGAGGGGAAGACCCTCTATGAGATGGACTGATTCAGTGACTGGGGTAATCAGGATGGGTGTGTCAGAGGCAGTGCGATTGGGACAGGATAGAGCGGGGTTTAGGGCTGTTGTACATAGGGTCGCTATGAGTTGCAAATGACTCGACGGCACATAACAACAACAACAATAACCCCTGGAATTGCAGTGCAGCTTCTTGCTACTAGGCCACCAGAACTCTCTGCCAGTTTTTTATTACCTGGGACATGAATCATCCTTTTGTCCAATGTTTTCACAATGGATAAGCTACTTGTCCATTAGTTATTGTTGTTAACCTCTAACTGTATCTAATTTATAAACCATACTCTACTTAGGTTTGTGTATAGAACTAAACATAGTTTATATAGGATTTTATACACACACACACACACACACACACACACACACATTCACTGGGGGTCTTAGAACATATGCTTGAAGATAAAAAGGGGTCATTGTACTTGCATACATATATACATGTAAAGATACACAAAAGATTTAAAAATCAAGGGAGAAAAGAAAGAGAGAAGGAAGGAGTAAAGATAAGGATGGAGAGAATAATGAACAAGTGAATGGGTGAATCAAGGAAAATTGACAGATGAATGTAAGGTGGACTGATGGCACCCTCTCTCCCAAAAGACCCCAGGCTTCCAGGGAAGTTCAGGAAGCACCCCACCCTCTGAGGGAGTCACTTGCTGCCCTGGTTGAGAATTGTTAAACAAGTGGAAAGAATACAATTCAATGTGGTTTCTCCACATCCTGAAAATGTTTCCTTTCTTTAACCAAACAGCTAACTTATAGATATCTTTTGATGAAAAGAAGTTTTAATTCAACATCTGAGAATTTTAATTTAGGGATGGTGTTACATTTGCTCTGGGTCCTAGTGACATGATGAGTTAAGCATTGGACTTGAAGTCTGAATTCACAGGAGAAAGAGGAGGCACTTTGGTACCATAAATGCTGGCAACCTGGTAAACCATTTTGGGAAGTTCTACTCCATCCTAAAAAGGTTGTGTTGCTGTTGTTAGGTACCGTCATTGTCCATGTCTTTGTCCCCTAAGGCAGCTGGTGGGTTTGATGCCAACCTTTCAGTTGTCAGCCGAGTTTTTTATTCACTGCACCACCAGGTTCCGTATATTCCTTCCATCTTCTTTTAATGCTTCCTGGATCATTTAATATTCTGCCTAAAGCCTCCTTGATTATAGCAACTCTAGGTTTGAATTTGTTCTTTAGCTCCTTGAGCTTAAGAAATCTGAATGAATTTGGCCCTTTTGATTTTCCGACTCTAGCTCCTCGCACATTTCATTGTAATATTTTGCTTTGTCATTCCGTGCTGCCTTTTGGAATCTTCTGTTCAGCTCTTTAGTATCTTGAATTCTTCCTTGTGCTTTGGCTTCTCTACGCTCCAGCACAATCTTCAGAGTCTCTTCTGACATCCATTTTGGTCTTTTCTTCCTCTTCTGTCCTTGCAATGACCGTTTGCACTCTTCCTGGATGATACATTTGACATCCTCCCACAACTCATCTGGTCTTCGCTCATTAGTGTTCAAGGCCTCAAACCTGTTCCTGAGATGATTCTGAAATTCAGGTGGGATGAAATCAAAGTCATATTTTGGCTCCTGTGGATTTGGTTTCATTTTCCTCAGTTTCAGCTTGAACTCGCATATGAGTAGTTGGTGGTCCGTTCCACAATCAGCTCCTGGCCTAGTTTTCACAGCTAATATTGAGCTTCTCCAGCAGGGTTTTTTCCGCAGGTGTAATTGATCTGATTCCTATGCATACCATCAGGTGAAATCCATGTGTATAACCTGTGTTTATGTTTCTTATAAAATGTATTTGCAATGAATAAGTCATTGATTGTACAAAATGCAATCATTCTATCTCCAGCTTCATTTCTGTCACCAAGCCCATGTTTTCCAACTACTGATCCTTCTTCTCTGTTCCCAACTTTTGCATTCCAGTTACCCATTATTATCAATGCATCTTGATTGCATGTTCGATCTATCTCCGAGCACCACCAGGGCTTTTGGAGAAAGCCCAGAGGTATATCATTAACAAGATTTCCACGCCTACTGGAGGGCCAATTCCTGCACCCAGACACTGTCTTGCTTAGTTTTGGACTCATCAAAAGGTAAACGGGTCTCTGGGCAATCACATCATTCTTGGTAAAGCAGAGGGTGCATGGGAGGGGGAAAATAAAAGAACACCCTCAACAAGATGGAGTGGTACAGTGGCTGCAACACTGGACTCAAACACAGCAACAGTCATGAGGATTGTACAGGGCTGGCCATGTTTTCTTCTGCTATCAGTGGGTCTGTGAGTTGGAGTCAACTCCACAACACCTCTAAACAACACGCCTGAGGTCAAGCACACAAGGAGGGCGCAGAGTTGAAATCTGTGGCCCTGTGATGGAAAGGAGATGAACAAAGAGAGGACAGAGAGTCTGTCCTGGCAAAAATAGTCAGGGAGGGGGTGGGAAGAGAAAGATAAAGCTCACAAAGAGGGATGGATTCCAAGAGCCACTTGTGGCTTTAGATTCAAACACGTCTCCCTGTGATGAAACGAAAGCATCTCGTGTGTCCAGAGCTCCTGAAGACATCATGTCAGAGGTATGTCTACTTGAGCATATCTCAGGTACTGCAGATTGGGATCCAGATCACCTTAACAAAGCGAGGTGCACCTTGGTGATGGTGGTGGTCAGTATGTATAACTCATAGCAACTCTATATACAATAGCTCCGAACTCTGCCCTATCCTGAGCCAATCTCATTGACTTCCACACACCTAATCCCATTGCTCAAGTTACCGTGTCAATCCATCTTATCTGTGGTCTCCCTCTCCTGTGCTGTCTCTCCCTCCACCCTTCCAAGCTTGATGTCCTTCTCCAAGGACTGCTCCCTTCTGGCCATGTGCCCAAAGTATGTGAGACGTAGCTTCAAAATCTTTGTCTCCAAAAAGAAACTCAGTTTCACTTTCTTTGAGACAGACTTCTCCTGGAAGTCCATGACATGTTCAACACTCTTCTCCAGCATCACAACTCGAAGGCATCAATCCTTCTTTTGTCATCCTTAGTCATTGTCCGCCCTGGTAGTGTACTGCATTACATGGTCAATTGCTGACCGAAAGGCACCTGTTTGAACCTGTCTGAACGGAAGGATGAGGCAGCCTGCTTCTAATACATTTACAGTCTCAGAAATTGGATGGAGGTCACCATGAGTCAGAATCAACTTGAAGGTCATGGGATGTCTGGTTGTTGTTGGGTTACTAGGTGCCATTGAGTGGAGGACGACTCATAGTGACCCTGTGAACAACAGATCTGAACCCTGCTTTCCCTGTGCCATCCTCATCCTCTCTGACACACTCGAGGCCAAAGCGGCAGTCACCTACCAATCCATCTCGTTGATGGTCTTCCGCCTTTTTGCTGACCCTCCCTCCACCTTTTCAAGCAAGAATAGTCTCTCTTGCCAACATGCCCAAACTATGTAAGAGGAACTTTCGCTATCCCTGTTTCCAAGGAGCATTCTGGCCGCACATTTAAAAAAAAAAAAAAAGAAAGAAAGAAATGGTACTGGTTTATTTACAAAGTCTGAATATAATGTTTTTCACACTGGATCTTTCCCATTTCCTTCACCCTCCCACCCATCAAATTGTGCAACCCTATGATTAACCAACCCACCCCCTGCCCATCCTCACCCCTCTGCTTCCACCCCCCCATTGGATCCTCATACTCATTCTACAATAATGGTTTTATATAATATTTGTCCTTATGGGACTGACTTATTTCACTCAGCATAATGCTCTCCAGTCCCTCCCAAGTTAAGCAGTAATTTGCAAAATCATTGGTCCTGCATGCTGTGTAGTATTCCATTGTGTGAATGTACCATAATTTCTCAATCCATTCCATGGTGGTGGAACATCTGGGCTGTTTCCCTGTTCTTGCGATGGTGAATGCTGCTGCTACGAACATTGGTATACAAGTCTCCATTCAAGCTTCAGTTCTCACTCTCTCGGGGTATACTCCAAGCAAGGAACAGTGAGGTCGTATGGAGTTTCTGTGTCCAGCTTTTTGAAG